TTTCTTTTTGTAATGACTGAACCGCTAATTCGTCTGGTCGCTTATGTGCTGTACATTTTGTCATTAAAATATATCTCACTTTAAAATCTTAATTTTTGTTTAACAAAAGTCAAAAGAAAAAAAAACAAGCAAGCAATTTGTTTGCAACAGCAGCTGTTTAGCTTGCAATGTTGTTGACCCACAAAATGCAGCTTGGATAAAATCTTTGTAATTACGTGTAAAACATACTGCGCAGATGAACAACAGTACAGCAGCAGCAGTAGCAGCCGCCAAAGAGATGCCAAGCGTGAAATTTGCAGCTGTTACAAACGGGATTTAAGGCCAACTAGACACGAAGAACAACAACAACTGGAGTTTTAAGAGGTGCAAACATCTTGTACAAACAACCTCCTTTTGTAGAGCGCAAACCAAAAAGCAAATAGCCAAAAAAGTAATCAGCTGACGACCAAAGAAATAATTAGTCAAAATGAAGAACAGCAGGCGGCACTTGAGAAGAACCCAAAAGAAAAAGACATAATCATAAAGACAGACCGACGGGCAGACAGACAGACGCACATTAAGATCATCCACACAGGCAGGTAGCTAGGCCACAAAAAAGGAGCGAATATCAGAAAGGAGAAAGAGAGTGAGACAGAGACGGCAACATAGGCAAGGTAAGCAGGGTCGGTGCACTGGCGCAGAACGTGGTGAGTGTGCGCGCGTGTTTGTGTGGAAAAGCCGTTTTTCAGTTTTATGAATTATACCAATTGACAATTTGAGGGCAACATTCCAGAACAGAATAAAAAGAAATAAAAGTACAGTCATTCAAGATGATGCTCTGGCAAATGCACCCTGTTGCACCGTGTCGTTCCTCCTTCTTGGTCATTGTCGCACCTTTTTGTCGCACACTTCTGTCCGTCAATCAATCAATCAGTCCATCAATCATGAAACACTCGGAATACCGAGAGATGAATATGAAAAGTCAGCGAATCGCTTGTCTCGATTATTAGTTTTGAGTGCCTGACGCAACATACCGAAAACAAATCCCCGCCCTCTTTTGATGTTGTTCCTTGTCTGTGAGCCAGGCCAATATAAAGTAAAAGATTTCCATTTGGCGAGCTGTGAACTGATTGCTTTCAAAGAAATTCAACTTTTAAATATAGAAATATATATAAATTCTTATGATAGTATGTAAATATTCGAGTTTTCATTTGCTATAAAAATGTATTTCAATTTAATTATGAGAGATGCACAGCAAATCAATTCCACTTAAGTATCCCCGTCTTTTAAGTCTACACTGTACTTAAGATTGTAAATATTATATATAATTTCTAGTTGTAATTTTCAGATACTTTGCAATTTGGAGTTATGCAAGATTGTCTTCATACATTACATATATTAGAAGAACTCTAACTTTAAAATGATACTGTTAAGAGTTAACAATAGCATAACTTCTGAAGATTCCATTTATTAAGTTTCTATGTAAAGTTCCCAACAATATCTGGAAATTATCCAATTCTTGGAGCTAATTTTTTGTTACATATGCCAATAATCCGAGTTATGTACGCAGAGGAGCTTTGGTTTGCGTGCCTGTTCAGATGGAACTGAGTTGTAGTTGTAGGTAATACGAACCCTGTGAGTCTATGTGTGTGGAATGTGCGGGAAGAGACTCGACCACAACGACTACAAAGAGAGAGATAGGGAAAGAGCGAGAGAGAAGAGGGTCTATCCTACAGTGGGAACTGGAAATGAATTTCATGAATTGCATGCAGCACTTTGCTATGCTGGGCAGTCACTCGGTTGAGGGCGTTGTTTGTGCATTGCGGTGTTTCACTCCATCCACCACATCGCCCGCTGCCCTCCTCGCAAAGCTGTTGTCGTTGTTTGCTTGGTCAACAACTTTCTCACACGCCAAGACGAGGCAAGTCGAGTCGAGACGAGCTGGCGGAAGGCACAAGCTGTCGTAGATCTTTCAAAATGCATGAAACCGCACACAAAATGCAAATAAAGTGGAACTTTATGTGTGCTACACACATACAACTATAGATATACGGATATATATGTATATGCATATGTGTATATATAGCTCACACAGATCGGGACTCGGACAATAGCTCATGGACAAACACTCAGCTCAAAATCACGGTCAGGCGGTAGACAAATAAAAAAAAGTAAAGAAAAAACAAGTTTCGCTATTGGCGCATACGATTTGCGAAACGGGTTTCCAGCTTCCAGTCAGGAGAGGCGGCATTGGGCGTGGCACTGACCGCACTAAATCAACCAAATGTCTAATCCATTTGGCGCTCCTTTTCCTTTTTCCGTGCCCCTTATTTTGTGTTTGCCACGAAGTTTTCATTTGTTTTCGAAACTTTTAAATTATATATAAATACATAAGAGTTTTCAAACGATATACCATATGAACCTTTCTCTCTTGCAACACTTTTTTCCATTTCCAAATATGTAAAGTGCTCGACTTTTTGCCTACTTATTATTTTTGACTTCGCACGAATTGAGCGCAATTTGAAATTCCGATTTGTTTATAGAACAGCTAAAAGCAAAAAGCAACAGCAGCAGCTGCGCCGCCAAAAAGCTCGTATTTCCAGCTAAATCCAAGCATAATAAACTATAATTTGTGCAAAAAAAACAATAAGCCGTCAGCGATGCCGATGCCAACTCCAATTCCTATTCCGACTCTGATACCGAAAACGATGCCGAAACGAAAGCAAAAGTAAACAAAGCAACAGGCAAAAGAAACCCGCTGCATGCATATGCCCAAAAATAAACATTCTGCGAGACTCCTCCAATTACGAATTGTGAAATAGGCGCAAAATAAAAGTACAAAAACAACTGGCAGGCTGAAAGGGTGCACCGTTATGCTTAAAATAAGCTTGCAAAACAGAGCTAGAAATGCGCACTAATTGGAATTCTTTAGTTCATATTGTAAAACAGTTAAACTTATGGGTATACATATGTGTGTGTGTCACAATAACTGCGGCATTCTCAAAAAGTGCGCCCCAATTATTGACTTTACACACACAAACACATTTAACTAACATGCTTTTGATGTATTGCTTATCAATGGGCAAATATTTGATACCAAGTCTATGTCGTAATTAGATTAGCTGGCACCTGTAACTATACATACACACATACACTCGCACGTGTGCCAGTTTCTCTCTCTTTCTGTCTGCTTAATCGTTTTTTGTTGGGATCGTTCGGCCCACATTTGTTGTTTCACTTGTTTTGGTTTGTGTTTTGCTTTTGCGTTTATTTAGTTTGACTTTTCATATTTGTTTTGCACATTTTCTTGGAATTATTTCGGTTTTATTTACCTACTTTTTTGTTGAGCACTCTTATCTGTTTGCTCTAAATGCAATTGCACTGTTTGTAATATTCCATGTTGTTTTTGTTGTTTTAGTACTTTTGTACTTTTATGGGCCAATACATATTTGGCTTATCTTTTGACATTTTTTTGGGACACGAACCACTCTTTGTGTCGTTTTGTTGATAAGGCTAAGATTACAAAGAAATGAGCACAATGTCTAGATATGAAATATATGATCATATGTACATATATATGTGAATGTAGAATATAGATCAGGTTTATAATTACACCTTTTGTCATTCTAAAATTCCAGTGCTGCAGGCAATGCAAACTTATTTCCAGCCAAATGAGTCATACATCGAGCCACCGTTCAAAGTTCACTTTACGAAACGGGCAATGGGCAAAAAGCAAAGCAAAGCAAAGCAAAATGACAAAAAAAAATTCAAGGCGCCAAAACATACATAGCTGTAATTTAGCGTGAAAAATAGCATGCATATATTTCAAGCAAGACAGCAAAGCAAACTTTAGTGCTAAAACCGCAAAAAAAAAACAGTTATAATATGTACGTATACATAACTCTATTGCAGTGTTGTAGATTCAATTTTGTTCTAATAATCTCTATTCTGGCCTTTTTACGTTTTTTTTTTTTTTTTTTTTTTTTGCAGCACTACAACACGCAAAAGTGACTGCAACAACACCAATAGTACAATGACCGAAAGTAGTAGCTAAAAGCAAATGCGCCATGCCAAAAAGGTAGTCTGCATACACCCACCGCAGCGTAGCGTGAAAAACGTAGTAGACTTGAGTAGCATGTAAAACCAGCGATACTAAAGTTAACTTGTGTGTGAGCGCGCGTGTTTGTGTGCTTATTTATAAACCTGTTGTCAAAGAAAATAGCAACAGCAACAAAAAATGAAAAAGAAAAAAAACACAACAACAACGAGTTGCTGTTTGCTGCTGTAAGGCTGCACTAAAAATTCCGATCTTCCAGTCGTTGTCGTCGCGCCGGCGCTCGGCTCCAATGGAGTGAGTTCCGTGCGCACAGCGCTCGCGAGCGCGGCGGCTGCGCTCAAATAATAAAAACAGGTATAAGTGTTCGCATTGGTGTGTGTGAGGGCGAGCGTGCGTGTGAGTGGAGACTTTTAAGAGCTGGGAGCCAACTAACCAGCCAGCAACATCTTCAACGAAACAGCAGAGCAAAATGAACGATGTGATAACCGTACGAAACGTACGAAGGTGAAACAGCAAAAAAGTAAAGCAGCAAAACACAGTAAAGAAGGCGAAACAACAACATTGAATGTCGACGCACCCTTTTCTTATTGTTTTGTTGCTGTTCTTGTGTGGATTTTGAAGCGCAAAACCACATCCGAATTATCGTACTCCCTTATACCTATGCAGATCAAAGCAACAGCAACATCAACAAAAACGAATGCAAGTATGTGAGCAAAAGAACGTTAAAAAAGAATGTAGAGTATAGCGGGTGGCGTCCGACATTCTCCACAACTAAAAAAGCAAAATATCTAGGCAAAATGCCGACGCTGTTGGAATGCGTTGTTGTTTTAGTTGTTATTGCTGCTAAGCCGGACATGGCAATTGTTGTTTGCTCTTGATAGGGGCACGCTAACAATAACCAATGCACTTAACGCTCAATTGGCAATAATTAAAAGCTGGAAATTACAAAAAATTTTCGACTTACCTTTTGTGACGTTTCGCCGTGTTATTTAAATCCAAATTAGAACACGTCCAGTTAATCCCAGGCATAAATGAACACAATTTTAAACAACTAACACTACAAAATTAGCAACAAACTTATTGCCACTCTTAATTAAATTAACGCAGCAATCAAATAATTTTTAACTTTGCTGCTGCACATTTTGACGCACAGATCACGCAGATCGAAGGCCAAGCCGAAGACTGGCAATTAAAGCACCTAAATGCAATATAAAAAAACTTAAAACTTAGATTTTCACTATTTTTTTATTTCGTTTTATCTACGCATACACTTTACACTTTTTACGTTAATCGTGGTGCAATTTTTTCTTTTCTTAGAAATTCAACGAATTTGTCAAACGAACAAAGCGCGAAGCACGCGCGTAACACGTTTGAAAGCGACGACGTCTGAATTGGAACTCAACGCGAACGACAAAACGAAACGCAATGCTAGCGGTGCGAATCAAAACACAAAGCGAAACGAACACCACTTATCGATAGCAATCGAAAGCGCAACTGTTGCGTGCTGTTAAGATAAGTTGTGCAAATACTAGTGTAAGCCCGTATTTTGCAAAACAGGGTTTGTTTTTAATTTTGCTAAACAGAAATATTCACCAATAATGCTTTTGTATTGTAAAAGTCAATTATTTCAATAAAAAAAATTTAGTTAATAACGTAACGTTAATGTAAGCAAGAAAGGTATATCGATACGCGTGGTATAAATACAAGAAACGATAGTCGATAGCAGAGAAACTTATTAATGATTTAATGAAACACTAAAAGCAAAAACTTAATTAAATAAAAGCAAATAAAAAGATTATTTAATAAAATCTAAATAACTTTATTGGGGAATACATTTCTGTACAACAAATAAATAAGTTTGCTATTCAACAGAAGCCAATGAAACAATAATAAACAACAAAAAAGCATAAAATATGCTTTAAAATGATTGAAATAAAAGCAAAATTGGTGCGTGCGGATTCAGCAATATATGCAACAGGCGAGTGCGTTGAATGTTTAATAGAATTCACGCACAAATTGTTTGGCGAAGAGCAACAACGAAATGACAAAGCATCAACGTAAGAATATATAATAAATCATTGAAATACATTCTATTAAAATAGTTTTTTATAGTGTAGAGAATCTGGCGTGGGCCTCTGTGCAGCTGCATTGCTATAGGAAGACCAGCTACAGTACACAGTCAGCCGACAAGACAGCTGAGTTGGCCGAACTCATAGGGCGCACTGCCTTGGATGCCGTCACTCAAACGCCGGGCGAAGTGATTGTGGCAACCAAGCCGAAGATTCTCTTCTGCGACCTCAAGCTGCAGCCAGGCGAGACGAAGATGTGTAGGTGGCGGTCAGACTGATCATTCAAAGAGTCTTCATTTAAGAGCCCATTCCTTTGCAGACTTCTTTAATGAGTTTGTGCCGCGGGATGGACCGCCCACATACCGTGGTCATGACATACGCTACTTCTATAAAATCACAATTGCCACACAGCGTGTCAAGTCCAAGGTGCAAACGCTAACTGTGCCCATACGTGTATTACCCATTCCTTTAATAGCTCGACCGGATGAGCTGCCTGTTACAGTGGAGACGAACGAGGAGCTAACGCCCACGAATCCATTTCTGGAGAAGCGAGAGATAAGCGAATTGGAAATATCGTGGCATCACTTGAAGGTATGCTTTAGTCAAGCTATCCTAACTGATTCTAATTCCCCCGCCTCCACTGTCTTATAGAACGTTACGGCTCGACGTGCTCCAAAGTTCTATCGGATTTCGAATAAGCGCGGATTTGTTGGCCGCTTTTGTTTGTTTAAGCCCGCTTATAAGCTGGGTGAGGATATTGTGGGCAGCCTGGACTTTGACAGCTGTCAGGTGCGTTGCGTCCAGTTCTCTGTGAAGCTGCAGCAACAGGAGCTGCCGTTGCGGCCGCAGCCGGAGCAGGCGCAACCAAATGCTGGCGATGATGTCGCCTCATTGAGTTCCTTTGATATGGCAAGCATAGCCAGTGGCATAGCCGTGGATAATTTACACAAATCTGAGACGTCGGGTAGCGCACGCAATAAGGATGAACCCAAGCTCTTGGGCAAGCTAAGCACCATATCCACATCCCATCAGGTTGGTTCCTCGTCAAATCCTTCTGTAAATTGTCCTAATCGTGTTATGTCCATTGCTTTCAGGTCTGCTATGCAACGCTGCAGACCCAGGTGGTTGTACCCATTCCGTTGCATGTTACGCCCACATTTCGTACAGACCTGGTTGACGTAAAGTGGCGTCTCCATTTCGAGTTTGTTACCAGCACCATGATGGACTTTGGCGTTCCGAATCCTCAGTCTGGTGAACTGAAAGCGCCAGCAGAACTGCCCGTTGAGACAATGGTGTGGAATTTACCTGTAACCATATATGCAGCAAATCCACTGCAGATCTATGCGCCAAATCAAACGTATAATCTCTTGATTAAGTAATTAACAAATTTGTTGCAATAAATAGTTTGTACATTTAACAAAATTGCGCGCGCCATCGGTTTGAATGAAGACTATGTGGCAACACTCCACTCCAATCTGACAGTTGTGCTTACTGTTCATAACAGGACAGCAAATGTTAATTATGTGCTTTCTGTTAGATCTACGCCAAAACAAGGATATAATATATTAATTAAGGAATACTTGCATATCTGAATTATTGCAGTAAGTCATAAATACATGCATGTGGAACAATTGTTTTGAAATAAATACAAACTATGTGGCAGCACTGTATACTTAACATGGCATGACTTGTAAGTGCGTATGCTGTTATTAGCAGTATAACAAATGTTAATGTTATACTCTGTTTATTCAGTATTAAAAACAGTGTTGTCTACTTCCAAGCAATTTTCTAACAAAAACTAAATACATTTGTAGTTAAAAAACGCAGAAATTTAGCGTATAGCAACAGAGAAAAATGTATCAGGAATATCTAAATCAATTAAATTCATCACTCCTTCCCATGAGCACCGACGAACTGAAGGAGCTTCTCAACAACGATGATAAACTGGACGAAAAAGTGGATGAGGTGCTCGAATCACTGAAATCACAAAAGGTTCGTTTCTTCGAGGAGAATCGCAACCGAGCCGAAAAGAACATTGAAAAGGAGCCAAAGATCATTGAGCTGCGCGGCAAGCTAGCCGAGCTCACAGAAGAGGGACGCACCAGCTGTAACGCCGTGCAGGAGCTGCTCACACAAATCAAAGAGAAAACGGGCGGAGTTAGCCAGGAGACGGCGCTGGCGCTGCTGCAGACGGCGGCCTCCGAGAGCGAGGAGCAGACGGAGGAGTTTGTCAAGAAATTCACCGACAATGAGCTCAATGTGGACGCTTTTCTAGAAGAGTTCCTCAGCAGTCGTCGCGCCATGCACCTGCGCAAGCTGAAGGCCGAGAAGATGCAGGAGCTCATACGCAAACAGGCACAGCGTCAGAGCACAGGAGGTCCAGCAGCAGGTGGCTTACCCTATGGCAATTTGCCGGGCACAGCTGGTGGCATCAGCAGCTTCTATCCGCCACCAAAAATGGGCGTGCCCTATCCCATGATGGGTCCACTGATGCCCTTGCCGCCGCCATCGCGACCCTATTGAGCTGAGAGCAAAGGTTTAGTTATTAATTAATGGAAAACATACGCAATTCGCAGATGCTGCCATAGCTGCCATCACAATCGCGGATGACTCATCCGAGTGCTTTGTTTACATATTACGTGTTAAATTTAAATATACAAAACAAGAAGCTTAGCTAAGTTTTAATAAAGCCAGAACCTCTTTCGAGTTAAAAATCCTTCATGTTTTTTTTATTGTTTTAAAACTGTTTCATTACATATTTACGTTTTTAAGTACACTCAGCTGATTCACAATTTTCTCTCTTTCATTAAACTAAACGACTAAAATATGTTATAATTTATGCATAAATTAAGCGAACCAATTTAATTACATTTAAAAAAAACTTTTGAGTTTATGTTAAACAGAATGAAAAGGAATTAATTAACTTGATAATAATTAAAGCGAGAAATAATTAATTTTATCAATTTTTAATTTAGATCTTAGTTTAAATGAAGCCAAGGGCTAGGAGGCATGTGGATTAGAGGCTTAGTATAGAATGGAAAGGATTGGTAATAAGGATTGTGCACAGGCTTAATATATAATATATAATTAATGTATATATATAGATTGCTTTTTAGTTTAAAAACGGTTTCTTCTGTTGCTGTTACTTTTAGTTCTCTTCAGTTTTCCCTCTTTAATTTACTGTTAGTCTTTTGAATTCCAACGCTTCGTTCATATACGCATATATCATATATACACATATACATTTGCAAAATGTTATATATAAAATATGTTCAACATTATTTATCCGGGCGGTTTAACACTTTAAAAGGTTGCTTATTAAAACTATCCGTGTGTGGTTGTTGTTGTTATCAAAAAATAGTTGTATATATATAAATAGATGCCTAGAATCGATGGAAATTGTGTGTTGTGTGTAACGCCATCATGACGAACCGAATTCCCTCATCCATTTTTCATATTTGTCGAGATCTGCCCGGGACACGCTCTTATTGCAGCGACTGATGGCTTCGTTGAAGTCCTTATTGGACACGGGCAGATCCACCTCCTCGGTGGCCAGCTGTCGTATTTGTTCCGGCGTTAGGCCAGCTATCTTGCGTCGCATCGACATCATGCTAGCCTCCCTAAAATACGTGAAATTTCACTTAAAATATAAGATCAATTCAAAAGATGAGATTCAAGACGTATACCTGCACACATTGGTGATGTCAGCGCCGGAGTAGCCATCCAGCTGGTTGGCCACATAGTTCAGATCGACGCTATCGTCCACCTTTACTTCGCGTAAATTGATCTTGAGCAGCGCCTCACGTCCCTCGTCCGTAGGCAGTGGTATATAGATACGTTTCTCTAGACGCCTGCGCAACGCCTCATCAATGTCCCATGGAAAGTTGGTGGCTGCCAGCACCATGACAACTTTGGCCTGCTCCTCCCCACCGCCCACGCCGTCCATTTGCACCAGCAGCTCCGACTTGACGCGCCGCGATGCTTCATGCTCCGATTCGGAGCCACGCCGCGAGCACAGCGAATCGATTTCATCAATGAAAATGGTGCTCGGCGCATAGAAACGTGCCATCTCGAAGAGCAGACGTACCATTTTCTCCGATTCACCACGATATTTGGATGTGAGCGTAGCGGAGCTGACATTAAAGAAGGTCGTGCCACATTCTGTGGCCACCGCCTTAGCTAGCATTGTTTTGCCCGTGCCAGGTGGGCCAACCATTAGGACGCCTTTCCACGGACGACGTATGCCCTGTAAAATACACAAAACTCATTAGCAATCGAGAAGTGGTATAAGTAGAAGTTTGTAGCTACAAAATATATGGAAATCACCTCAAATTTGATAAACACTTAAAGCCTTAACTTATCAGATAATATTTTAAATGTTCCTATCAGCAGTTAATAACGATTAAAGCTTTTTTAACAAAAGAAAATGCTCTTTTTGTGAGTCACAGACTGCGCGACACCCTGTTAATTGCTATATGCGATCTTCATATACCTATCCAACACATAGATACAGATGCGCATTCAAAAAGCAAAGTAATCTTGCTCTATAAACAAATTACTTAGTCTTAGTTTTCATTTACTTTCAGCTTTGCCGCTTACTTCGCTATGTCATACACATTATCACGACTGTGACAACCCTTTGTTTACGTGTTCTTAATAATTACAGGGTATATTGCGAATATATCAGCTGATGATTCAGCCCACGCAGGTGACATGATGACGCACCTTAAAGTAGTCAGGCATCAGCATGGGCAAAACAACGGCCTCCTCCAGCAAACGCTTGGCATCGTGCAGATCGGCTATGTCGCTCCACCGCACCTTCGGATCCTTTTGTAGTATATCACGATCTGTGAGTGATAGATATGTTGTTTACATGAACTGGGCATAAATGAATGTCGTTATACTTACCCAATATGTCCACCAGCTCCGCTTCAATGTGGTTGTTGGGCTGGAACTTACGCTCCTCCTCTGTCGCCTGCTGTTCGCTGGCATCGCCATCCGCTGTGGATCCATTGCTGACGGCCGCTGTCGCGTCATCATCTTTGCTGTCTATGTTATTATTGTTGTTGATGCTATTTGACGTGGACAATTTACGTCCGGCAATACGTCCATTGGCGCCGCCACGTGCACTGTTTGACGTGGAGGCCGTTCCTCGAGTGTTGCGCGCCGTGGCAGTACCGTTGCGGGCAGTGCTCTGTGGGATTGTGCTGGGTCGGCCGCTGTTTGGTGCTCCGCCTGCTGTTCGACGGCTACTTGTAGTGGTTGCACGCCGACCCACCTGCTGGACGGGCGGCGGTGGTTTAGGTGGGCCCCAGACATCTGGATCTTTTGGAGGCGGCGTCCATATGTCCGGATCCGGCTTAAACCAGGCAGAGGGATCTTTGTTCACATTGCTATCATCACTCAACTGTGAGCGCAGCTTATGGGCAAATTTGGTATTTTGCAAATCCAATGAAATGTCCTGCAGTGTGCGTTGTATGGCCTTAACTTTAGCATGCTCCTGATTAATTTGCTGATTGATCTGCAAAGTCAACAAATGGCAATTGTTAATCTTACAGAGAGTAGCTAAGCAGCAGACACTTACCATGTTCCATTTGCCCTTGCGCATGGGATCCACAGTACTCTTAAGTAGGCGCGCCAGCATGCCCTACAATTAAAAATAGCGCTTTTAATCTATACGCAACAGTTTGGTATACCCTTGGAAACTTCTGAGCGTATATGGGTATATGATGAATTTCTAATCAGTGTGAACAGCTGTTCGTAGAGTCTAAACTTTTAAGCTATATTGATGAACCTTAACATAAGTTGCATTGCCTTACTATAGTAGATATGTGATATATGTAAATAACTACAGCTGTTGCAATAACTTTTAAGGTATTCTGAGGTTTCAACTGTACCTATTACCTGTCTATCGATTTAATTTTTCAACCTGTCAGTTAAGATAGATATTGATTTGACCAAAGCTTCTACTATATAATATATGATATTAAATATCACAACGTATACCTTCACATCCCATATACGTAGTTTTCTAGGGTATTTATTGTTCTATGCTGTGATCTGGCTTACCTGCAATCCCTCGTAGTATATGCAGGCCGAGTCGTAGTTGCCTGTCAGGGCCATGTCTCTGGCTAATTTGGCATTCTCGCATATTTCTTCAATTGTAGTTTTGGCCATTACGGTCATTCCTACGCAAGTGGTTGTCTTTTGCTTGCCACCTCGCAGTAACTGTTCAAAAAAAATCGGAACAGGTTGTTGTCGTTGTAACCAAAAACGAAACAAAGATTAGTCCCAATTAAAGTCATGAGTATTGCTGTTGCTGCTGCTTAAGCGTAGTGCGTAAGCTTCTCGCTCGCTCGCTCTCTCTTTCTCGCTCTCACTTCGGCTGTCTTTGTATTTGCTCTCAGACAATAGAACGGAAGCAACGCAGCGGCTTTGTCACTCACTCACACACACACGCCACACATAGGCGGAGACCATCGGACACGCACACACACTTGCAGGTAAAAATGGAAAGTAAGTATTGGTCTCTCAAAATAACCGAAAATAATAAAAGAAGATAGCAATGGCAACGACCGAAGACAACTACAAATTGTACTAGCACACATACACATATATATTTACACGCACTGGCGACAAGTGCTGCGCTAATTATAAGCACAATTGTTCGACCCGTTGCCACTGTTCCTTCTGCTGCTGTTGTTGCTTTTGCTGTTGCCGTTGTCACCAAATTTAAACCATGAACGTGCAACTGCGCCGCGCTCCCATTTCCGAGTTGTTAGCCCAAACTGAATCGGAATCCGTTTGGCGAAATGTTATAAAAAAATTATGAACCTTGCTGTTGACAAATAAGGCGCTTGACCTTGTTGAGTCGTCGTCGTTGAGGCTTTTGAATAATTCTTTCAAGTCAGCGACGATAAAACTTTGCAAAAAAAAAAAAAACTAACACACGCGCGTACTGTCATACAAAACACACACATACACAAGAATGAGCAAAGAAAAAACAGAGCTCAAATTTCCGCGGCGTTTAAGTTTCGACAAACACACAAACACTCACTCACATTCACACTGACACATCTATATGCATACAAACAGCCGCTTGCTGCTGTAGGCTTAAATGCACATAAAATACACTTTTTATACAGAATTACGTTAATTAGTTACTTGTAATTCTGTATGCATTTTCACTTGCATTTTTTAAGAATTGAAATCTTGTATGCGCTACGTGGGGGCGTAAGCATAGACATGTTCGTAGTTTTTTTTTTTTTCAATGTTTTCGTTAGCCAGCTTACTTACGGTTATGGACATTAGTACACTGGCTTTGTTACACGGCGTTACGAGTTTAAACTGATTGAAAAACTGTATTTGTTTAAATTTAAAAGCAATGCATTAGCTAAAATAAACGGGTGCTGCGACTTCTGCGGCGATTGTTGTTGCTTAATACTAACGCAATGACAGTGATGGTTTTAAATATCGAATCATTCTCGATATGTCGATATTTATTTGGACATCACACCTCTCAATTAAAACACTAGATGCATGAAGCATATTAACTTAAGTAAATAATGAAAATAATAAATGTATTTTGCAATATTATTACTTTACCTAAGTTATTAAATTATTATTTTGATTTTAATACGTCTTTATTCAACGTTGTGGCAACTTTGTTCTAATTTTTGTTTTTAAAGCATTCACCGATTTATACATTGTACATTTTGACTTCTGATAAATGAAATTGTAAATTTTCAAAAATAAACCCTGAAAAATACAATAAAAAAAGAAATTTCTTATGTTTTTACTATTCAAACAAGCTGACACTATCGATGATTGTAGAAATTAATCGATATCTACAAAGTGGTACTACATGCAGTAAGGTAAGTTCCAACTCAAATACAAAAGTTGGACAAAGCACGGCTCAACCGGTTGATGACACTTGGTTGCATTTGTGCTAGTTAGTTTATGAAAATTTATTATTAGACTCAGTGTGGGTGAAAATAGCGGTTTATTTAGCAATCTAAAGAATTAGCAAGACATGTAAAACGGCAAACTCAATGTATTACAGCCCACTACGTATGAACAACCAACAGCTTGACCGTGCCTGGGGCCCCTATAGATAACAAAAGAAGCAAGCATACCATTTGAAGTCTTATATTATTTTTGGCTTAAGACTGCTTACGAGAGGTATTTGTGTGTTAAATTTAGCGCTTACGTTAGCGCCGGTTGAAGGATGACAACACCCACGCGTGCAACACTCGAGAAAGCTCTCAAAAGCGATGCCAAGCTGCAAGCAACGGCTACACAAATTGCAAATGGTAAGCGAGTCTCGTAAATCAGCTGTTGGCCCAATTTAATTAAAAGTATTATTCTAACAGAACTAACTAGCGGAACCTACACCATAGCCGAACTGGCCGAAGAGTTAGGCTTTGCGTTGACCTCAGCGGACACCGAGGAACGCGTCGCCGGCACAAATTTGTTGTCCGCTGTGCTTAATGGTCTGCCCGGCGATGTCTTGAACTCCAAGCAGTTAGAATTCCTAACGACCTTCTACACGGATCGCCTACGCGATCATCACAATGTTATGCCCGCCATAATTGTAGGCCTAAATGCCTTGGTGCACATGAAGCAGCTACCGTCTGAAAACGTGCCACTCTTGTTGCAAGCATTCTTCCAATATACGACCTGTCAGTCGCAAACGCGTGGTGATCGCACCAAGATATTCAAAATGTTTAAGTTCCTGACATTGCATTTCCAGCCAGGTGCGTTTTGACTGAATACCATCTGAAGGCTGAAGTAATTGATTTAATTTGTTTTGTTTTTCTTAGAACTTGTTAAAATGTCTGGCGACTTTTTGTTTGGTTTGATCAATTCGATTGATGGAGAACGTGATCCGCGCAATTTGGATATCATTTTTAGTTTTATGCCCGAGTTTATATCACAATATCCACTTTTGCATTTAGCCGAGGAGATGTTTGAAATCTTTGCATGCTATTTTCCAATCGATTTCAACCCTAGCAAAGAGGATCCAGAAGCCATAACACGTGATGCGCTCGCCGAGAAGCTAACCAACTGTCTGGTGGCTAGTGAACAGTTTGCCGAATGGACCGTGTCGTTGGCCGTAGAAAAGCTGGATAGCCAACTTGTTGTGGCCAAATTGGATTCCATTGAGCTGCTGGTAAGCAAATGCCAACATATTGTAATTGTATGCCTATAGTTATTTCTTATTTTGCCAGCATCAAGCGGCTCTCAAGTTCTCACCAGGCGCACTGGAGCCGTATTTCGCCCAAATCTGGCAGGCATTGAAGGCGGAAACCTTTCCTGGCTCTGATAATGCGGACGTGCTGAGATGTGCACTCAAGGCCCTCGCCGAGTTGTTGAAAAGCGCTGCTAAGGTGCCGAGCATCAGCCATAACTATCAGAGCAATGTGCTGGGCGTTGTGCTGCCCCACATGAGCGATGTACACCATCGCCTCTTTCATCCAGCCACTGCAATATCTCTGATGTGTGTCTCGGGCGATGCGCCCTATGCAGCTGATAAAATACTGAACACTTTTCTACTTAAACTTCAGACAACTGAGTTGAGTCTAACGACCAGCGAGGAGCGCATCAGATTTTATCACATTATTAGTCAGGTTTATAAGCTGGCCGCTCTGAGGGATTCACTGGCAAAGCTGGATAAGACCATACTGTTGCCGTTGCAAGATGATGTCATCAAGGCGCTGCGCTTATGTGAGCGCGAAGATTTCGATGCCAAAAAAGAGGACTTGGAGTTGCAGTGTGCTGCGTTGTCGGTGCTCTGTGAATGTGTTCCCGTGCTGAGCGAGGCACAACGTGCGCTGGTCTACAAGGCACTCGTACAGCTAATTAGTCATCCGTACATCGATCTGGACTTTAAGCAGTTAACTGTTAATCTGGGTGCCCTGCAGCCCGTGGAACTGCAGTCGTCTTTTATAGATATATGCATCCGTAATTTTGACATATTCTCGGAGTTTATCAAACGCAAAATCTACGCAAATCTTCTTCCACTGCTGCCTCAGGTCGCGTTTACGCATCGCATACTTGATCTGGTCATGAAGGAAGTATTCACGGCTAATGTCATAGAACCTGGTCGCATATTGGCTTTGGAAGCGCTCTCCACACTGCTCAATCAGGAAGAGCAACGCTTTATTGTGGAGCTGCAGCAGCAGTCAAATCTGTTGCACAAGCTCATAGAGCTGGCTCAAAATACTTCCACATTGCCGCTGACATCGTTAGAGCTGATTGCCGCCGCACTGTGTCGCATCATGCAACAGCTGCCTCTATCCGAGCAGAGCGCGATTGTCAGCGAGTATCTGCCGACGCTGGATCTGCAGCAGGCGGCACATCTGTACGTGGCTAAGGGTCTGTTGGGCTATCTGCACAAGGACATTTGTCTCGATGATCATTTCGAGCGTCTGCTAGACGATCTCACCAAATTGTCGCTGAGCTCCGACAACGAACAACTGCGCGACATTGCGCATCATTTGCTCTGCAGTCTGGTCAACAAAATGGACAACACTGAAGAGAATCGCAACCAGGTAAAACGCATCATACACCAGCTTAAAGTAGCCATCAAATCGGGCGACCAGCGAGCCGTTCACCTGCTCGCGTGGCTGGCCAAGGGCCTAGTGGTAGCCGGCTTCGAGGAGGCAGCCGAGATTGTAACCGATGTGAGTATGGATGAACTATATGAACTTGTTACAAAGTATAACTCTTTATTTTAATTGCCAGCTTACGGAGCTACTGGAGCATCCCACATTGTGTAGCGCCGCTGCTGTGGCCTTTGACATTATTGCTACCGAGTTTCCCGAATTGGATTTGCCTGTAGTCAAATTCTTGTACAAGCAAAAGTTCTTTCACACCATTATGAACAAGTTGGGCAGCAAGCTCTCCAACTACTGCGAACACCATATGAAGGCATTCATCTACGTGCTAAAGGCTACGCCGCATTCGGTGATTAGACTTAACATTAAACAATTGGGTCCGCTGCTCTTCAAGACCCTGGACGCACAAAATGATGCCCAATTCCTTTGCATAGCACTGGGCATATGTAATAACTTTGTGGAGCAGCAGGATTCGTACTTCCAGACTCATCTCGGACACATAATACCCAGCTGCCTGGAGCTGTCCAAGCAAAAGACGCAACCAAACATGGTTTGTTACCTGACATCGTCCGTAATGTGTCAGTTATTAATTTATTCTGATTTCCATATTTTAGCAAGTGCGCATTGCAGCATTGCAGCTGCTCTATGACATAACCAAGTATCCGACCTTTGTGCTGCTGCCTCACAAGACCGACGTGACTCTGGCTCTGGCTGCTGCCCTGGATGATTCCAAGCGTCTGGTGCGAAATTCTGCAGTCAAGGCTCGCAATGCTTGGTATTTGGTGGGCGCACCCAGCGGTGAATAGCAACACGATGACAAGCAAATTGTTCTTAGCATTTTGATTCAATTGACAACGAAAATGAAATACGCACAATTGTTAAATATTATGTCTAGCTCTGTTTTTTATTGTTACTGTTCAGTAGGGGTGCTCGCATTGTGAACGCGCCATTAGCGCACATTTCTGTGAACGTTGTACAACGTCGGGGCAGCGACGCTTCCTCATGAAGCGGCAGTCCTGAAAGAAGCCCTCGTTGCGCGGAAATCCGTGCGTAAAATCTTGAAAGGTGAGCAGACCCCAGCCCCATATCTTGCCGCCACGAAACTCGCCCTCATATTTCATTCCATCCGAGCGCCAGAATATGCCGTTGCCATGAAACCAGCCCTGATGGAACTCTCCTTCGTATCTGTGCCATATAATGGGAATGGGTTGCAGCTGTAGGCTCGCTGTATAGCTACTCACTTGGCGCCATCGGGAAACCAAAGGCAGCCTAGGCCCTGGCTGAGGCCCTCCTGAAACTGTCCGTCGTAGCGCGTGCCATCGGCGAACTGCAGATGTCCTATGCCATGCTTCTGTCCACGTTGATTCCACTCGCCTATGTAGCGACTGGCGTCCTCGTAGCGCCAGCCCCCAACCTTAACGGCGCCTCCACTGCTCTGGTTTGAACCCTGCGGATGGTAGTGCTGCTGCTGCTGCTGTTGGTTCTCGATGCGTGCTGTGGTCACGCCCACGCTGCTCACTGCGAAATAAGCCTGATGAATGAACCTATTTTTGAGCTTTAGTCCACTTACTGTCATCATCGTAGTCGTCCATGGCCATTGCTACAGCTGCTTGGCCACTGCACACGATGCGTCGCTAACAGCTACTGAGCTTGCACTAACCGTGCCGCCTCCGCAAATGAGGCAAGCCTTCTGTGGCTTCAATGCAGCGGCCCCGGTCTAAATCTAATTAGCATATTGAGCCACGGCACAGTGGTCCAAGAGCGATGACATCGAACGAGGTAAGTGAAACTACTCGACTTGAAAAGTACCCTCAAGCACAGCCTCTGCACCTATCCTTAGCTCCTTTCTAAGCACGCAGCATACTTGTTTAACTGAAGTTGGATCTAGCTTAAATACTAAGGATAGAAATTAGCTTAGATAACATGTCCCCCTTGATTAAACCTTTATTATTTTAATGTTAGGGCAAAGTGAAATAATGTCGAAAGTTTATGCTCGTTCACGAAGTAAATTATTATATATTATATATATTATAATTGTTTTATGCAATGTGCATTTTGCTGTCCGTCCACCTGTTGTTTTAAACGAAAGCAAGAGATTTATAGTACTAACAGTTTCCCAACACGCCAAAACTATAAAGTTTTGAAGGCTTAACGCTATAGACGGCTTCTTAAAATTGATCAAAAATGATATAACGGAAAAAACTGTATGCTCTTTCGTAATACAGCTAGAAACCAGATTTAACGACTATCTTACTGTTTAACTCCCCCATGGCGTAATCGTAAGCCTATATATTTAGCAGAGTTTTGAAGCTGGAACCCCAACATTTGGATTAAGTTGCAAAAAATAATTGAACAACCTTTGTGAAAAACATATGAATAGAGTTAAGTAGTTCATTGTTGCGTAAAAATATATATATTTCAATTCTAGCTGCCTTTGGCTATATGAAAGAAATGAAATTTCACAGATGAGTCCATATTTGACAGAAAAGCCCAGGCCAATATATCTCTAGCTCAAAGAATCCTCGAGATATGCTTAAAAAACCCAAAAAAAAAAAATGGAATTTGCATCGTTATTAAGAACATTAAAGGAACAATTTATAAATATTAATGCAACAGGTAAAAATATTTCATGTTTTAAGGTTTCTATATACTCTAATCTTCTTATATGTACAAAGGTACCTTGACTTTAATATACGAAAAAGGCTGATGATTTTACAGGATATTTTAAGAAAATGCTATCATTAAATTTACAGGGTATAAATGAATAGCTTGCCATTTTTTTCAACTGTTGTTAGCCAGGCTAATGCAGCTCTATAGGCTTTGACCACAGCAAATCCACTTCAAATCGGATTTTCACTTATTTGGCCATCTTTGAATTTTGCCGCATTTCCTTCGTGACTTCAGCCAACTGTTGTCAAGTAGTGCGACTGGCGTTGCCAAGGCTGAGGCCGAGGCAGAGGCAGACAGGCAATTGGTTAGCATTAAGGGTAGCCATGACTACCTCGGGCCTAGCCACAACAAATCCCAGCCAGAAATTTTCACAGAGCACACGAAATGCTGCATCAGGGCATAATCTTGCGCGAGGGCCACGTCACACGCACCATCTACAGTCTGGTAAGTCAGCAAGATGATCCAAAAAGATGCGCCTCGTCTAATCGGCTTCCGGCTAGATCAAGGATAAGCGCTACGAGGATGTGATCGAATGCATTGCGAGCTGTGGCGAGGCGGCCAATACGCGGGCAGCACTCTCGACACTGGGCCACTGCTACTATCATGCACAGAAGTACGAGGAGGCGGCCAGCTGCTATGAGCAGCTCTGTCAGCTGGTGCCCAAGGAGGCCAAGTACAGGTGAGTTGGGGAGGATATAAATATATATATGATATGCGCATAATTCCCGCCTAGATTCTACTACGCCCAGTCGCTCTATCAGGCGGGCATCTTTGCGGACGCTTTGCGTGTGCTGAAGCAGATCAGCGACAAGGAGTCGGGGCTGTGGGAGCAATGCCTGCAGCTGCAGAGCGCCATACTCTACTCTAGCGAGGATTATGCCGGCGCTCAGAGTTTGCTCAATCAGCGCGCTGGCGGCACAGCCGAAACGCTTAACGACGAGGGCTGTCTGCTCTATCAGGCGGATCAGCATGAGGCGGCGGTGCAGCGTTTCCAATCCGCACTGCAGGTGGGCGGCTTTAATCCGCTGGTGGCCTACAACGTAGCCCTCGCACACTTTCAACGCAAGCAGCGAGCCCAGGCTCTCGACTACACATCGGAAATTGTGGAGCGAGGCATGAGGAATCATCCGGAGCTGGGCATTGGCGCCCAGGTGGACACCGATGGCAGTGCGCGGAGCGTGGGTAATCCGATTACCATGGCCCTATCGGGCATTACTCAGGCCCTCAATCTGAAGGCCGCCTTGGAGTATCAGGATGGCAACGTGGAGGCGGCACGGGATGCTCTGCTCGACCTGCCGCCACGCGCGGAAAGCGAACTGGATCCAGTCACGCTGCACAATATGGCATTGACCGATGCCCAAGGACCCGTTGCGGGACTGCGCAAACTGGCCTTCCTGCTGCAGCTGGGCGCCCCTGCCTGCCCGAAGGAGACCTTTGCCAACATTTTGTTGACTTGCTGCAAGCACGAGCTCTACGACACCGCCGCTGACATTCTGGCCGAGCACACGGATCTGACCTACAAGTATCTGTCGCAGTATCTGTACGAGCTGCTGGATGCGCTGATTACGGCGCAGACCAGCGGTGAGCTGGCCGAGAAGAAGCTGGGCACCCTCGCCTCCAGCCTATCGGGCAAGCTGCGCAGCCTGGCCGCCCGGGTGCAGGAGGTAAGGGCAACCAGTGAGCAGCAGGCGCTACGAGATGCACTCAAGGACTATGAGCAGGCGCTGGAACTGTAGGTGGCACAACTAGATGCTTGGCTATCTAATCTGCATGATATCCTTCTCCTCACTTTAGTTATTTGCCAGTGGTTATGGCACGTGCCTGGATCTCTTGGCGGGAAGATGATTTCCTGGGCGCTGAGCGCGAGTTTCGCTCCAGCGCCGAGTTCTGCTCGGAAAATGCCATCTGCTCGGTGTGGCGTTTGAATGCGGGCCATGTGCTCTTCATGCAGGACAAATACAAGGAGGCGGCTGCCTTCTATGAGCCCATCGTGCGCCAGAACTCGGACGATGTAATCTTTGGCTATCCCCCACTCCATCAAGAGCTGTTCTCAGACGTTACTCCCTTTTTTGCAGATTATGTCCGTGTCTGCTGCGGTGCTGGCCAATCTCTGCGTGTCCTATATCATGACGTTCCAGAATGAGGAGGCCGAGGAGCTGATGCGCAAGGTGGAGAACGCCGAGGAGCTGAAAGGCAACCAGGGCAAGCAGTATCATCACCTGTGCATTGTCAACCTGGTCGTGGGCACTCTGTACTGCGCCAAGTCCAACTATGAGTTTGGCCTCTCACGCATCGCTCACGCCTTGGAGGGCGGGTCGGGTGCACGTCTCTACGCGGACACCTGGCTGCACGTCAAGCGCTGTATACTCGGCCTGCTTACGGGCATGGCCAAGCAGAACATCATCCTGCCCTATCCAGCCGTACAGGAGGTGCTGAACTTCCTCAAGTCCTGCGAAGCCTACGGCTTGTTTACGCCGGCCAATATTTATACGGCCACGGAGCAGGCACCCAGCGAGCCACTGACCATTGGACTAGAGGCGCGAAAGCTGAGATTTCTATTGATCAAGCTGAGCGAATATGAAAATTAATGAGTTATGAGTGCGATAAACATAATATAATATATATTTTATAAGCTTAGAAGACTTTGGTACTTTAGTTCTTTTAATGGAGTAAACTGGAAACTTCGCTTAGTTCCTACATTGGAATTGGAATCCATCCAATGTAAGTTGCGGGCAGTTTTCTGTAAGGAAAGTTCTTTTATTTAACCGTTAATCTCCCTCCTCCACTCCCAATAAACATTTGACTTTCTTCCAGTTTTCTTTACAATACGTAATTTAAATTTATTTCAGTATATGCTGCGTTGTCTTAGAACATTGTATATGATGGTTGTTAATGGATTACAAGTGGATTACACGTGATTGAGCGATTATGTAGCGAAAATAATAAGTGTCGCGTGGTTACGGAACGTAAAATGCAAACTGCAAGCCAAAAGAACTTTGTGCTGTAGCTCAAACATGAACATATTTGTATTTATATTTATATATATCTGCATAGAGTGTCTAGGCGAGCACCGCTGAGGTGGCCATCTCGCTGACGCCGCAGGTGTTGTCGCCACGATAAACGCGATAGTAGCCCTGCTCGCCCCAACGGGGACCCCACGAGTTCTTGACGATCCAATAGGGCAGCGTCTTGTGGAAGTTGGGATAGTCGGAAACGCCATAGCCAACAATCAGAACGCCATGGTCGAGATTTTTCTTGCTGCAGAGCGGCCCCCAGGGATGCGAGACGCCTCCCCGATAGAACTGCATGGCATTGGCATTGAGGCCTGTGGAAAAGTAGGCGTAGTTCAATCAATCAATCAATTCGTTTATCTTCTACAACAACTACGCACCAATTGATATGGGTCCATTGGCCAAGAGCCACTCCTGCATGGCAGTCTCATTGCCCTTGGGCAGATCCACAAAGCCAGCGACTTGCACGTGGGACAACGTCTTGTTGAAATGACATTGCTTCTTCTTTGCCAAATAGGGATACTCGGACTCATACTCCAGGCCGCCAATGTCCTTGATGGCTCTGTGGCAAGAGAATTACCTATGAGCTCTGGATAGATTTTCATCACTGCACGTCGACTACTTACTTGTAGGCATTGTCCATTAGGCCGCCATTGCAGGCGCTATCTGTCGAATCGCAGTCGAGCAGCTCCTGCTCAGAGAACTCCTGCAGTTCACCTGTTTTAATGGCATACAAGCCCTCAATGTTGCCGGTGACACTGAATGCCCAGCAGGAGCCGCATGAACCTTGGTTCTTGACTTGCGTCACTGCATTCTTCTGCCTCCAGTCGAACTCCTTGGGCAGCTCGGCCGACGGATAGGGCGGTACCACGGCAGCTGCTCCCCCTGTTGGCTTATCTTCGCTGCGCTGCCAGAGGCCGGCGCGCTGTGTGTACTCCGTGCTAGTCATGTCAGCGAACTCGGTGATGCCATACTTAGCGCTACCCTGTTCATTGTCGTTCAACTCCTGGATCGTTCTCAAGTTCTGGCGGAAGATGCGCAGGCGCATCTGATGCTCCACACTGTTGGCATAGCGACGCTTGTATTTGATCTGGAACACGTGGAACAGATGATCCACCTTGTTGAGCGAATGATGATTGTGCTTCTTGTGCGTCTTCTTCTCGGCCCATTCCACGGAGCGACTGTGCCGCGCATGCACCGCCGGCTGGTTGTGGCACTTGAACGTAATTTCGTGACCCTGCGCCAGCCAAGGCTGTGCCCAGATCTCAACAATGCAGCGACGCTGTTCCTCATTCCCGTCAATCAGATCCGCATCGATGCGAGTCAAGGTGCCAGAGACCAGTTGACGCGAGGCCGAATACACTTTGACAATTCTGTTGAAGCACGGATCGAATTTAAAGACTGTATATAAGCGATGTGAGACTTGTTTGGCTATTTACTTGTAGTGCGGTCCCTCGCCAGCGGTTAGCTTGTCCAGAGTTTGCTGCAGCTGCTCCTCCGCCTGCTTCTCGTCAAAGGGCTTGCTGCCACCCAAGGGCACATCGTTCAAGCCGCGCCTATCGCGGGAGAGCTGCAAAAGCCAAGCGAAGTAAAAAATAGCTACAGTTCTATATCTCTAGCAAAACTGAAATAAAACAATCAAATTTATATCCACGACATATTTATTGTTATTGCTTCAGGTGTCCCATTAATAATTTATATTGTGCTCGGACGAAAATTTAGAATTGAAACTTGATTCTTGATTCGCTCGCTTGCAGGAAGGTTTTCTAGAGCCCGCACTCAGCTGGTATAATATAGTCGTCCATAACACGAACGCGACGCAAACGGCCCTGCGCGTCGACGCCCACTTCACCCGCTTCTGACTCCAATTTTTGCTCGTACTCAAGACGCTGCAGGTGCTTCTCTCGCCGACGCACGACCATCGCAGCCGCGGCGAGTCCTTCGTGACGCAGCCAGCTGGACATGATCCAAATGCTGCGCAGGCGCAACAACAGCGATGTTGACTTCATCTCTAGTCTCTCTCTCTCTTTCTCTCTCAATCACACAGTCTTTTATCGCTCACTCCCTCTCTCTTTCTCTCTCAATCACACAGTCTTTTATCGCTTACTACCTCTCTCTTTCAGTTTATACACGGTATTCTTCACTCTTCGTATTTTTTACTATGCAATTTTAAAAGAATCTTGAGCAATTCAATGGGAATCACCTATAAAACAATGCTAAACAAATATATATAAAATATTACTTAACAGTGTTTTTTTTTGTAGTGTAATCTTTTGTTGTGCAAGTGAAAAAGGTTTAATAATTATGAACTTCAATTCGGACACGAGCTGCGCTTGCTGAGAGTTATACAAATTTAAACAAAAGATTCAAAATTTAAACTGAATGAATCGATTGCCTCACTAATCTCTCAATGATAGCAAAGGCAGCCAGGCAGCCAGGCAGCCAGGCAGCCAGGCAGCCATGGATGCAGGCAGTCAGCTAGGCAACAAACCACTTAGCCAGCTCGGATGCGAATAACAACAATAACGTTGGATGAGGTGGCATTCCACCCTTTCGGAGGTTGCAGAGACACATGTGGCATATAAAGCATTCAATGGCAAACGCAAAACCAATTAAACCAAACATTTTTGGCTGGAAATTCGTTGCCTGTTGGCATGGCTAGATTATTGTTGAAGGAGGTAGCTGGAGGAGATGTCGGGAGAAGCCTACATAACGTTGACGTTGTGTGTGTGCGTGTGTGTGGGCGTGTAATTGACGTAGCAGGAGCAGTAGCTGTAGCAGTAGCAGCAGCTGGAGCAGCAGCTGGAGCAGCAGCTGGAGCAGGAGCAGTAGCAGCAGTCAGCGCAGGTGTGGAGCAGCCAGTCGGTGAATGCAATGACAACAATACGAAATGAAATGTAATGGCAACGACGTGTGTATAATTAAAATGATTGCCAGGCCCAATCGGTGTTCGAACTGCGGCGGTGGCGGTGGCGGTGGCGGCTGCAGTGGCAACGGCAGCAACAGCGCCAGCGCCAGCGCCAGCTTTTGTTTCCGTTTGACCCGTCGCGAACATGAATTCATTAAGTTGCCTGTTTTATACTCGCTCACGATGTGCTAAGGAGTATATTGAGTTTCTCAACACTCGCTCAAGCAGTGAAAACTATATTGAGCTGCAATACTCGCTTATATAATGAGAGAAGTATATTTGTTTTTAGGTTAGCTTATGACTCAATAGAGTATATTAGTATGTAATACACGCTCAGTATGTGTTAATGAGTAGATGGGTTTTCTAATATTATATGAGGTTATATGAGGCCTTTTAAACTCATTCACTTAGTGGGAAGAGCATATAGGTTTTTAATACTCGCTCAGTATGTGTTAATGAGTACATGGGTTTTCTAATATTTTATCTAAAGATTATGTGAGGCCTTTTATACTCATTCACTTAGTGGGAATAATGTGCTAATGAGTACATGCGTTTTTAAAATTTGAGCATTAATACTCGCTCACGTAGATTGAAGAGTATAATGGCTTTTCATGCTCGCTAACGACGGACTAAAGGGTATATTAGATTGCTATTTGTTGGTCTGTAGACTTGTATGTGCACTCCTTTGAATAACCAAACAATTTAAGGACGTATGAAATCGAAATGAAATTCCTAAACTGAAAAATTCGGACTCCCAAACTTCTTACACAATCAAGAAAACAAAGATGTGAACAAGTATTAGGCAGTCGGTTATGCCATCGACTGCAACATGCTTGCTTGTTTTGGGTCGGTGCTCGCCCATGCACTCCCATTGTCCTTGTCACATTCTGTCGTTCAATAACTATTAAAACGTAAATTATGTACCAGCCACTCGACAATTTTTGTGTGTGCAATAAATGGACCGTGAAATGCATTCCGAATATGTCGACAGCCGAGTGCTCGATTCTCGATTGAATTCGCTAATCCCGCAGATTAAATGTCAGAGTCGGTTCAGCTTTCAGAGTTTCCTGGCCGCATTACCAATGCGATTTATTAGATCCATTCATCTATAAACTATACAGAATGCGTAGACTAGTTTGGCTTTAGGTGCATCAATGATGATTCACTGCGCCTGCTGATAATTGGGTTAAGCACACTATGTTTAGCGGCAAATAGAGTTGTATTAGAGGCACTAGAAAATTTATTTAAGCACAGCTCAAGTACTTTAAGAGCATCAATGATGATGATATTCAGATAGCAAACATTGCTTTATTAGATAAATGGTATTAATTATCTATTTACCCAACCCAGTTGGTAACTAGAATCCCTAAAACAGCAGTGCAATGTGTGGCACCGGATATCTGTAAGGCGTGTATTCCCTATTGCTGCTGAGATATTTTTACTTTGATCTGGAGTTATGAAGCCCAGGTATTAAAGTATTTTGAAGTAGATTTTATCATGCTAGCGTAATTTGCTATAAACATACCTAATCTAAAATGATGTTAAGGTATCTCTTAGTCGTGTATTCCCTACAGGAATGCAGCACAAACTGAGTTAGGAACACATCTGTTAAATATACTAAATTGTTTATACATCAGCAAGTGTGTATTATATTTGCCATAGCGACAAGTTCCCACCCGGTTCTATTTGAATTCCATCTCCTATTTGACGCAGACACTGTGCAATGGCCGCTGCGTCAGTTGGGTGTTAAAAGTAGAGCATCAAGGATAATGAGAGCACTTTTACACAGCAGTGTACGCTGCCAAGGGGCACACACACAAAGAGTGCGGCACTTGAGGTGAGCCCTCTAAGATATGCACACACACACACACATATATATATATATATATATATATGTATGTGTATATACACATTTATATAGACAGCTGTGGTCGGGGCAAAGGCGACACGGGCGCAGGGTTAAACAGATTGCGGCCGTAATTTGAAAGCGAAAACTCATTTGATTATTAAGCTGAAATAAGTGCGAGGGCACAGCTGCAGGGGCTGGGGCACTTCTGGAGAGGGCTTCTCGCTTGGTTGGACTATGCCAACAGCGCACAGGTGTGTGCGTGTGTGCCTCTGCTTGTGGTACAGGTGAGAAAAACGAGCAGCTTAAATAAATTTAATTAAATAACATTTTCTTTTTATTGTTTGCATTTACTTTACGAGTATTTGTTGATATGGGAGCATATAGAAGAGGACAGGTGTAACTAGGTGAGCGTGTGGGTGTGTGGGTGTGTATATGTGTGCGTGTGGGTGTATGATAATAATATTCATATCTCTTGTTGATTAAGATAATGAAGACTGCTGCGCATCCTGTTCCAGCTGCTGCTGCTGCTGCCCCGGTTCCTGCTCCTGTTCCTGCTGTTGCTCCTCCTGTGCCGGCTGTTCTCTCTGCTGCTGCTGCTGCTGTTGTTGCTGCTGTTTCAACTCCGACCGCTGCTCTTCGATAGTTTTCTCAAAGTTAAACGCACCCACTGATAGAATATCGTCTAGCCAACGCTTCTCATTTTCATTGAGCTCCGCTGTGGGCGTGGTCATGGCAATGGGCGTGGGTGTGGCTGTGTGTGTGTTAGCATCCCCAGTGTCGCTCTCAGCATCAGCCGTGGCTGCTGCTACTGCTGCTGTTGCCTCGTTAACGTTAATTGACGTTGCGGGCTCATTAGTGGGCACCGCTTGTGGGGGCGCAACTGTGGTGCTTGTGGCGCTTATTGAGCTGCTGCTGCTGCTGCTAACCCGACGCTTGTTTACGTTTGTCAATATTTGGGCTTCCAGATGAGCCATGTCGCTGTCGCTCAACTCATTGCGTCGCCCGCCATTGAAGATGGTGTTACTCACATATTTCTCGTTGAGCGCCTTGGCCCGCTCCTCGGGATCGACGGCCAAGGCGTTGTCGGCCACATCGCTGCAATTGGTGTTGACCAGCTCGCGTTGCTTGTCGCCCCACTGGGTGGTTAGCCAGGGTTTCTCCAGTATCACCAGACGACATATTGTGTCCGCATCCTTGGCCTTGGTATCAACTGCATTCAAGAGTATTTCGTAGCGCACCCCATTCACAATTTCGCGAAAGGCATCGATGATATTCACAAAGTTCATCGAGAGCGGAAGAAAGGACATCGCTATATTCTGCACGCCAATCAAATTGGGCGAGAGATATTCTCGCTCTCCAGGATTCAGCACATGGACCAATTTGATGGGCGGCTCGCTGATCGGCTCATCGGTGCTCTGTGTCTGCGTGTGTGTGTGTGTATTGATGTTTGTTTGTATTTGTTGTGTGTGTGTGTGTGTGTGTGTGGCAAAGACAAAAACAGAAAGCAAAACACAAATTCGTTTAAGGAATATACACACACGAGGAGAGAAAGAGAGTGTAGCATGAAGCATTATCCTTTATGGGAATACAACGAGAAACCATGTGCCAAGCATTAAATGTGCGTGTGTGTGCGAGTGTGCGAGTGTGTGTGTGCCAACACCATGAAGCAGTCGCTTGAGCAAGTGATTAAATTAAGTGCTTAAACAAAGAGTAAATCCCATTTTCATAGAATCATTAATATTAGCTGGGTTATTGCATTCAGAGCGTTAATAAAGCGACCTAAACTGTTTACACTGATTGACTGATTGACTGATTGATGATTGGCGTAGCTCAAATTGGTTTTCTTGAGTCGTTCTAGGCCATGTTCATATTTCCAAACTCATTCATAATTTAACCTGAAGGTAATTCAAATATAGATAACGCTTTAGATAGATACAATTGAATGGAATAGATTCAGTTGCTCGCTTATTAATGCCATAACTTTGCGCAGCCTATCAAACAGTGGGCGTGGCTATGGAAATGCTGAGCCTACATAGCAGTGAAGCTATTCATCAAATTGCGCTAAGCTTTCAAGGATCTGCCTGGCCAGTAAATGCGAGGCAAATTGTTCTAGTCCATAATCTACATTGAACTGAATTATAGATATATAAAATTATTAAAACCACTCAAACGATTGCAGCTTAAAATTAAACTCAAAATGTCAAATGATAAATCGATAGGCAGATAATTAAGAAATGCTTTTAAAACTGGCAACTGGCAACTGGCAACTGGCTTTAATGATGTGTCAACCAAAGCCTGCAGCTGGGCTTTCACTCGGCCATCCCTCGTTCACTTTTGGCCAGCCTAATGAACTCAGCATAATTGCAATTACATTGCGACAAGAGGTGGAGGAGGAGGAGGTGCTGTGAAAGATGTGGAGTAAGCAGCGTGAAGTGTGTGCTGTGTGTGCGGAGGAGACATTTTGGCCAATCAAGTCAATCAGTGAAGCAACGCTTCGCTGAGCTTGTGGCAGGTCACAAAAACTAATTAACCACCGATGCAAGCCTCCGCGCTCTCCCTCGTTCACACTTAACCCCCCAAATTACCACATTGCACATCGAAAACTGGTTAGAGGATTGCAACAACAAAATTCATCGATAAATGATGAGCCACAAAATGCAGCAAACAGAGCGCAGACGACAGATGCCAGCTGGCAGTCGGGCAAAGTCGATGCTGAATAATTTACGAACTTAAAGCATAAAACAAGTAAGAAATCTCTAGTCGGGGTGCCCGACTAGGAGATACCCTGATCCCAGTCCTATCAGTGTTTTTTAATATTTTCCTTAGCGATACAAAGCTTAGTTTGTGGCGCTGCTGACATGTGCTTTTGCAAATTGGCCAAACGTTTTGTTTAATAACTTCTGTTGGATTTTAGTAAAATTTTCAGCATATGATTCACATAGTCTATTGGCTTGGTAGAGATGCAAACGCCCTCACATAATGGCCCTATTTCCAACTGAACTTAAATATTAAGAATTTGGGGAAATTTGGAGCCGGTATCCAAAATCGAACAAAAATCAAAATAGCATAAAATATACATAAAACAAAATACAATTTGGAGGCTCAAGAAGATACATACTTTATGGGGACTGCCACGCCTCCTTTTGCCTGTTACATACATGTGCACAAGACCAATATACCCAGATTTCCCATTTTCAATGGGGTCAGGGTATAAAAAGAAACTGAAAAACTAAACGCGAGTACAAGGGGTTGGTGGTCGGAGGGGAGGGTACGGATTGAGCCAGCGCAGAGATTTCATGGCAGACAGCTTGTTGACGTTTCGGTCGTTCATCCTCATTGCGGCTGACGTTTTGTGTCTGCAGCGTGACAAAAAGCCGAAAAATGCATAAAAAAACTTTTTTGACGGCGATTGCGTCACTAAAGCAGTAAACGCCAGCTGCGACAGCGGCAGCGGCAGCGCAGTCAGCATCAGCGTCAGCGTCAGCATCAACTAGGTTGATGCCTCGGCTGACGTTTGAGCTGATTATGCTCTATGCGGGCGGAGCTGCTGAGTGGGTGGCTGGTTGCTTGGTTGCTTGCCTGACGCTTGGCCAAGTTGATTCGGTCTTGGCATTGTTGACGCAGTTTGCCTCTGCTGCCGCTGCCGCTGCCGCTGCAGCTTGTTTGCAGCTTGTTTTTCAATTAAACTTTACGGCACTTTAAGCAACACCCCAAAGTTGGTGTGGAGAATAAGTAAAGCGCACATGATAGACTTGAAGATGTCCTGTATTCAAGCTTAGGCCGGCAAGTAAAAGATTTCAGCCTTAAGTTACATTGCCAATCATTTACATAATTATACGAGTCATGTGTGCCTACTGCAAATCTTTTCAATTTTCCTATTTACACAACGCAGGATCCAGTTTTTTGTAAATTATATAAATAAAAACATCAATTTTGGTGCGAGATACTCCATTGCTAAAGCAAAACCCCAAACAAATCGATATTTATCGCTTTCGGTTAAGCTATCGATAACAAAATGTTATATTTTAAATGTAATTTCTGTGTCTATAAACTCATCACGGATAACACTGTCAAATGATATATATTTGATAGTTTCCCTCATAGGTGTCTCTGCAATGCTGCTGTATACCCTTTCTTAATGTGTGTACAGGATATGTCAGCTGGTCTCCAGAGATTGCTAGTTGGCCATGTTATGAAGGCTCCTCGGTTTGGTTGTCCTGGCAACTTAATGCGCAACAAAATTAATGCCACAATGCGACTTAAATTCTTGCCACATATTCAATGTGCTTGCCTCAAGGCTCGAATGCGTTTTAGATTGATACATAAGTTGTAACATATTTCAATAATTAAGTAAAAATAATCTACCCATCCGATTATTCTATACACTTTTCATTTCCAAATATTATTATATATATATATATATATATATATGCATTTTCTTGTATCAGCGATGCTCTGACTCTGGCTGTCTATCTTTTCATCCTTTTATTTTGATATATAAGCCTATGTATAGATATATATGAATTATTCCATTGATCATCTAAGTTTTCATATATCGATCTTTCTATCTGTGTATTCTTCTATCTATTTATATATATCAATGTTTTGACATATACAATGAATAGATCATTCTATTGTTTCATCAATGAGCAAATATAAATATTTTTGCGTAGTTCTATATTTATGTATCTACCATAATCTATCTATTCGACTATCTCTCCATCTCGTCAAGAATTTTTTTATTTTTTTTTTATTTCTCTTTTTTATCCCAATATAACTACCTCCTCATTTAAAAAACAGAATCGATACATCCATCAATCTAGCTATCGATCTATTTACTATATATCGATATAACTATCGATTCATTTAAGAAATTGAATTCGTCTTGCCTACCTAACTATTTACTTTGTTAGCATTCAGGCATTATTTCTCTCGATTTATGGAAACAGAGTTAAGATTAATATCAGGAAATATTAATGGAGACTCGTTAATATGAATTTCAGATCGGTAAGAAGTAAGCCTCAAGAATCGTCTTTATCTCTTTCGAGCTTTTCGCATTGGCACTTCCTGACTAAAGTTTTTCTTTTTCATTTATTTTTCGGATCACATTGGGCCTGGCTTATGTCGAAAAGTTTTCATCGCATACAGACGTTTGCTTCAGAAGTTGCTGTTGATGTTGCTGTTAATGCTGCTGCTGCGAAGTGCTGCGGCTCAGTGCTAACAGGCTTTTGCTGCATAAATATTGCACTGGATCGGGTATTGGAGGTCTAGAGGCTGAGTGGGTGGGTGGGTTGTCGGTTGTTTGTTGGATCTGCGATGCATACAAGAGATGCGCTGGGGTATTAACTGAATGCAATGTTGAAAAAACTTTAATTGAATTGACGTAAATAAAAATAAATACATCAAAATAAAATCCGGACGCAGCCTCCGAGCGCAAATTGCAAACTGTAAACTGCAAATTGCCAATTTGCTGTCAAACGGCAAAAATTGTAAAAACTGTAAAACTGTTTATTTTCATTAAGGCTTAATGAAAGCGGCCAAATAAACTTGGCCAGAAGCCGAAAAGACTACGGCACATTAACATTTTCGAAGTACAACAAAGAAGATAACTCGTTTTTTTTTATAGCGAGTATAAAGTCTGTCAACATTTACCTGGTTGAATAAGTGTATATACATACATTTATATATATAAATATATATATATATGTATATATATACATATATATAGATCCAGCAACCGAGAGGGTCAATAATATTGAGCAAACAGCTTTGTATACCCTAGCAAAGGTCTATATGATTATGCAACGACATTAGTTAGCAAGAACTGTTTTAGCTTACTTCATATCAATCAGAACTAGGTCGAGAGAACGTTTTACTGAAATCAACCAGTTCATTATCATTAGTTAATAGAGATATTAATGTATATAATAAATAGTTTATTTCCTATTCAACTTCCCTCACATACATATACATATTTTTTAATTTATCATTTCGCTCTTGAGGGGGAATCTCTCTCTCTTTCTCTGCCTGCTAGGGTATTTAAGTCTTTGGCTTGCTCAAGTTAAAGATTCTTTCTTGTTTCTTTTTTATTATTTTATTCAAGGTCAGTCGCGCTTATGCGCTGAATGGGCGCGTGTATATATATATATAAATATTTAGGTGCTTTTTTAATGACCATATTTGCCTTGGCTAAAGCGCTTTCTTTGAGCCATCTGTAGTGGGGCTTCTTGGCTAGCAACCCTCAAGTTGAGCGAGTAAGAACGTGATAACTGACTGCATCATACTCTGGTCATGACATAAAAGGTGCTAAGAATAACCATTGTAAATATGTATGTATAAATATATATAGAATCCTATACTACACTGACTTGCACACAAAACTAATATACTCTCTTTACTCTTCCAGAGCAATGCTTAAATTGCGTGAGGCTGCGTGGGTGAGCAATTAAAGGAGAACCGCGAAATTCAATTATTTCTATTCATCGGCTTAAATTGATGTTTTGCCTACCGATTAACGGCATTTAAGCCAAACATTTACACACAGTCTTTATGCGTTTAATTAATGTGTGTGGAAATTAGCTTCGACATTGTTCGACCGTCAGCTGCACTCAGCGCCACCAACCTGGACAATAATCTCTCTCTCTCTCTCTCTCTCTCTCTCTTTCTCTCTCTATGCACAATTGACACCTATATATCTATACTTATATAATGCACTTTGAAAAACGTTCAGGTATTACGTATTAAAAAATTTGGCATTGCCGCCGCTGATTTATTGAAAACAAAATATATAGGCAACTACAAAAAATTAAAAAAAAAATATGCAAAACAAAATATATGAAGTTAGACTAATATTAAAAATTTCGTTTTCCTTTTTTAGTAGCTACTACTATTTTATTGAACTACTAAATTTAGCTTACTTTTCTCTCTCAAGCCCTAGGTTTATCACAAAAAAAAACATCTCAATTAATTAAAAATATGTTAATCTTAATAGGAGCTAAAAGCAGTTGTCATATTTCCATTTTTTTTTTTTATTTTAATTTTTTATAATTTTTACTTTTAATATTGGACAAAATCGTGACAAAATGATTAGGAATTTAATTTTATATAATTGAGTGTAAAGTATTCGTGTTTGTACTAATTTAGAATTTCTTTGAGTGTATTTAACCCTCTCGCAATTCAGGTGAATATATACTTATGCTGGCCACTGAGTGACTCCCATGCAACTTGAGCCTGCTGCAAAATTTCGCAAACACACACAAAGGACAAATTTTCAACTAGGATTTGGGTTTGGGCTTGGGTTCGTCATTGGTATTGGGTTCTATGTCAAGCTCATTATAAACTTTGGTTTCAATGCTCCCCTGGGTGCTAATTTGTGCTTTGCTTGTGTGTGTGTGTGTGTGTGTGTGTGTGTGTGTGTGTGTGTGTGTGTGCGTGTGTGTGTGTGTGTGCGTGCGTATGTGCGTCTGTGTGTGCTGCCTTTTAGTGGATTCAATAACGTAATTTTCATTGGCATTCGCAGCATTAGGCGACGAAGTCATGATCGAAATTGCAAAATGACTCAATGGGCTAGAAATTGCCCCCACAGCGAGTAAAAGAGACGGATAGCGAGAGTGAGATAGTGAGAGAGGACTAGAGAATGAGAGAATCCAATTTGCATCTAACGCTAAGGCATTTGACAAACTTTGAAGCTCAGAGAACGGATGCCGTTTGAATGCGTGAATCATCCGCATGTGATTTCCGAAATGACAAAAACAGTCGAACGACTATATAAAATTGCCTCCAGCAAAGATTCTCTCCTTGCCCTCTCTCCATCTCCCTCTCTCTCTTTCTCTTCAAGTTAAGCTCTATGCTTAAGTTGACGTTGCTTTAGTTTGCAGTTTTGGAGCTATGAATATGGATATTTGTATCTCTCTAGTTATGTTTATATACATTTGTACATATGGATCCGTATGTATGTATGTATGTATGTAAATATATTCACACAGTTCCGCATTTTATTCATTTATGTAAATATGTTTATGCATTGTTCGCTTTGTGTTTGTTAGCATATGGAATAGCTGCCGGTTCTGTTTTATTCTTTTCTGTTTTATACTTTTTTAGAATACCCCCTTATATAAGGCCATAAAAAGTGTTGGCCATATACAAATTTAAAATATTTTCATAATTTAATTTGCTCACATTTTACTCTTACCGAAATTCGAATTAAATTTAATTTTGCTTTTCCCCAAAAACAACATTTGATATGTAAATATTAAATGATTGTTATTTATTTTTATATTTTTTCTTGATTTATTTATGATATACGATATACGTAACGGGACTTTTTTTGTGTCCTTGCCCGGCAAATGGAAATGAAAATGTTTTAATTGATATTGATGATGCGTCCTCGCCCCAACGCGTGGCGGTGGCCGAGGCCGAGGCCAGGCTCAGCCCCTGCCCACAGACGCTGGTCAGGTCGCTGGTCATTAATCTGATTTTCTGTATGGAAAACGAGCTTTGCGAAAATAGCTAACAAATTTGTACAAAAGCCGAGATCTGGCTATTGTTTTAGTTACGAATCATAATATCTTTCTGATTCATTGTAATTTGAAGGTTTTAATTGAAAATGAAAACAGATTTGTAAGCCCAAGTGGGCGAGTGCTGGTATGTCAGCAGGTGCACAAACACAGATATATTATATTTCTATGACTGCGTCAAAAACAAATGTGCTGAAAAGTATTTCTATCAAAATGATTCGTAATCTGGTTGTTGTTCTAATAACAGCTTAAATAAATAACAAATCAACCAACAAAATATGCTTGAAGCAATTATCAAATTTTAATTTAATAAATGACAAAATAATATTTTTACTATGAAAATTATTCTTAATCGCTTTATTGATACATTTTATTACATTTAATCAACCATTAAACATGCTTCAATTAAACAAACTTATAAACATAAATTTAAATAAACGGCTAAATGGAATTCAAACGGTTCAAAATTTCCTATAATTCTTATATGAATTTATAGCACAAAGTGCAGTTGGGTCGAACCTAAGACGCAATTGTTGCAAACGGCGAGCAGATAGATCAGCGATCCATTCTAGCGGTCAAATTGATATACATATAACAGCTGATTGTCAAGCTGAAATGGCGACGCAGCAAAGAAAGCGGGACAAAGCAAAACAACAACAAACGGTATAATTGCAAATTTGATAAGCGCAAAAAAGCGATGGCACCATAAATATATGTATGTATGCGTTTATGTATATGTAAGGCATGTATTTTCTTATATTTATGTATTTTGCCATTACAGCCTTTTATTTATGCATACGATTTTCTTTTGCTGACTAATCAAAGTTAATGTGTGGTCGGACGGCAGCAAACAAAAAGTAAATAAGTATGGCGTACGCGAGCATGCATGTGACTGCGTGTGTGTGTCTAGTAAGGCTTTGTTTGTTTGTGTTCATATCTGCATGTGTGTTTGTGTGTGTAGCGGCATTGTTAAAAACAGCAAGCGAGCAAATATAACGCAATTTCTGTAAATTGTAATTTCTGCCACAGCCGCATGTTCACTTAAAAAGCGTTAAATTGTTTTCCAAAACATTGCGAATCATAAACCACAACTCACCTCCTGTTCCTCGGCAGCTGTTGGCGTCGTTTGGATTGTGGCCAACAGAAAAAGCGCAACTGTTGCTGCAACGTACATCTTCATAGTGACAAGTTTTTTAGGTGTTGCAAATGTCGACAATATGATAGTAAATGTTTTGCGCAATTTCACGCGAACACAGATGAAACAGATTGTTTGTTTAGTCGCACTTTACGTCGCTTTCAATATATATATATTTTGACACACACGCACATAAGACATCTACTATGTAAACCGCCACCGCTCGCTGACGAACTCGTACTGTCACACGATTGGAACTCAGCTGTTAACTTAACATTGCCCTATGCTTCTTTACATCGAGCGCCAATTTTATTCTGTAGAAAGTATGTACAGATTTTTTAAATTAAAATATTAAAACATTTAAATATTTATAGAAATATAGGGTGTAAAATTTTAAATGATTGCATTACTAGATAATGAAAAATATTAAATTATTTTAATGTTAAGCTTAACAGCTGCCAATTAAAGTATAGCAGGTAAACAATCGTTATCGTTGGTTGACTAGTGTGACCGTAAACTTACATTGGAAACTGACCTAGCACAATAGCGATAACAAGCTACAAAAAAATCTGATGTGGAATATGCAACTAATTTGTAGCTGTATCGCAATAGAAAGGTTAATAAAAACGACATATGGTTACTATTTACTTTAAGAGAACATACGGATGTGACTTATTCAATAAGAAGTCATCACACGTATGTGTTGGAATGACAGAGTCCGAAACCAGGACGTGGTGCGTAACCGTGCGAACAAGGATACCAAAACGGAATGGATCAAAAACAAGGCGCAAACAAATATTCAATGATTGGTTACTGATGGCAACAGTCACCCCAGAACACATTGGATTTGAAATATTGATAAAACGCAATGTATTTAATAAATGAAACATGAGCACACATATGGGTCGAGCATATCTAAATTCCTGCGTTAAAGTGCCTATAGATCCGTGCAATAATTGTCCGGCGCCCGTTTACAATCGTCCCAGACTTTGCATGGGCAAAAAAGTGAAGGCAAAGGCCAGCACATGCAAAGCAGAAGATGCCATAGCGTCCAACTGGACAAGCCAAACGGGCATACGATCGCTGGCCAAGTTCTACGACAGCATACCAGGTATTTAGTATAACAAATACAAATTGGTGTCCAACTTAATCCATTTTATTCCAGACTACTGTGAAGTGAAGCACCTACACAAAGCAGACTTCTATTCAACTCTTGAAAGTCTGCGAACCACCAGTCGAGAGTTGCGCGCTCAGTCCGCGTCGCCAGAGCAACTAAAGGAAAGCGTCTCCTGCAAAGTCAAGCAACACAATGTCAAGAGCAAGAAACTTAAAAAGAAAATACCCAACATACCGCCGTTGATCCTGCCCGAGCAGGGCACACCCACACCCGATGTTACACACAGTTCCAGCTGCCTCAGTGAAGAATATGAGAAGTGCATTCGTGATTTAAGTCGGCTGGCCAACTTCAAGCAGGATTTTGCCATCGAAGTGGATGACTTTAAGCAATCTCTCAAGGCTTTCGAGCAGGAATTCAAGCGCAATGCTGAGCGTCCAAAATCCACCAGCAGTGGCACTCAGACCCTCAAACTAACGCCCATGCCCAAGGTGCCTGCCATGCACACAGCAGAGCGAGCTAAAGTTCGCAGCGAAATGCTAAGGAAATGCTACAGTGTCAATGATTTGAGTGCTAGCGGAACAGCAGCGCCCAAGTTGGAGCTGTTAACTCGAAGCAACTATTTTCCAAGCAAAGAAGTACCCAAGTTGCACATTGAGTCCCCCTCGGTGTCTTCCAAGCGCAGTAGCAACAGCTCCGCTTCTGGCTCAAGTCGTGTTCGTAGGCGACGTTCACGCAAGGTGAAAGTTACCTCTGTGGAAAAGAAGCAGCCGGAATTGTTAAGCATCTTTGAGCTGAAGCCACTGCCTGGGAAGCGCGCATCTAGCGTATCTCCGCAACATCCAGTGGCACGACCCAATCTGGCAGCCACTCTACGTGCTGAGGTTTCTCGCAAAAAGGTGAAGGACCTGAAAAACAATTGCACTTTCCACGATCCTAGGCCACAATATGATTGGGAAGTGCGCAAGACGCCCGCTTGGAAATCACTTTCCCTCAAGTAAGTGTAGAAAAACAGCGTCCGATACGGTTATAACAAATTATTTTAACATTTCAGTGAACCGCATAAAGCGCTACTTTCTATACGTCTGGCCACGCGCAAGGCGGAGCAAGCACTGCAGGAGCATCAATACGAGTTGCACATGCAAATGATGCAGCAGCGGGTCAAATCTGCGCCTTTGCTGCTCGAGGGTCAGACCTATTGGGGTCCCGAAGTAGGCAAACTCAGCCATAGCTGCCGCAGCGAGGCCATGCTACATGGCTGCGAAAGCAACCAACAACGCCGCAACAAGCAGCCCAAGAAGAAATGCAACAGCAGCCGCTGTCCAACTGCAATTACCGACGCGGATATTAAGGTACAGCAACTGCGCAAGATCTATGGCGCGCAGCTCAAGCCGAGTTCCCGGCAATCGCAGCGCTCTACTTCACGTCGCCGGCAGGTGGAACAGACGCCCGAACCACACGACAGCGGCGACGATTTGTGCAGCGTAGATCGCGCATTTCTGTAAAGCAAATAAGTACACTATAACATTTTCTTCAACTTAAGAATCGAGCGTCTTTATTCAGGGCTGTTTGAGCGATTGCAGTGCCACAAAGTTTGCGATCACGGGAAAGGCACTTGTGTGTTCCTCAGCCAGCGGAGCATTGCCGGGACGTGCTAGCAAAACGGTTTGCATGCCTGCAGCACGAGCAGCAATCGCTTCTGAAAAATTGTAAATGTATTATAGAAAAATATGTACGAATTCTCATTTTAGCAACTAACGCACCCTCTGGCGCATCTGTGAGGAATAGAACGTGTTGCGGTTCTACCTCTAGGGATTCGGCAATGCTTGTGTATGATTCGGTTTGCATTTTGTGTCCCACACGCGTGTCAAAGTGTGCACTCAAATGTGGCAGCAAATCACCAGCTATGCTGTGCTGAAATATCAACTTCTGGGCTGCGACACTGCCACTTGAGTAGACAGCAATGCGAAGGCCAGTCTCAGTCCAGGCCCGAAAAGCTACAGCTACATCCTCGTAGACACTGTCAAGATCAGCAGCGAATATAATGGTAGTTTATTTAGCGTTTCAGAACCACTTACTGCCCCTTAAGCTCGCCGCTAGCATAGCCCTTGTCCCAGATGAGGCCTTGTAGCGTTTTCAGTGGTGTCACCTTCAAATCTTTTTCGATAAGATAACGCGAAAAATCAGCTATATGCTTAGCATCTATTGTTGGCTGCTCATCTAGAGATGAAGTATATTCTTCGTACTGTGGCAGCTGCTGCAATTCCTCGACAATTAGCTTTGTGTTATCCGTTTCCCACGTTTCTAATAGATACTGCTCGGCATTTGCTGAGGCATATGGAAAAAGAACATCATGGACGAAGCTAATCGACGTTGTAGTGCCCTCAATATCAACTAGCACCACTTTGGCGCTTAAATCTGTTAATGCCATCCGGACTTTTTTTTACTAAAATTTACAAACTGTCGTGTTTCAAATATTGAATTTATATTATCAGCAACAGCCTACCTGCCTACCAAGCTGTCAAAAATATATCGATAGGCTCTTGTCTCAAAAATTCGATAGGTCTAATAAGACAGCAATTGAACCAACCATTCTAAATTCGCGCAAAACTTATGTGTGTTTTCGAGCACTGTAACTGAATGCGGTTTAACTGCATATCGATTAATATTTGTGTATCGATAGTACTAGTTCTGTTCGGAACAATTTATATCATCGTGAAAGTGAATAGCATTTTAATTTTTATTAATTTGCATTTGTAAGCAATTTTTCATTGCTAAAATACGCTGATGTGCTAAACTACGAATATATGCCACGTGTGAGCGTCGCCTCAAATAAAGTACAACAACTTGCAAAGCGATCAACGATAAAGAGAGCAATCGCTAAAGTGGAGGCGAACGCAGCTGTCGGGAGCAGCAACAACAAAAACAACAACGGCTATATAGCATCGTTTTGTTGCTATTTCTCGTTAATTTGGCTGGGCCTACGTGATTAAAATGCTTACAGTCACAGTTCAATAGCTAAATGAGGTCTGGTGAAATGCTGTGAAACCAAATTGGACCACACACACGCCCGCTAAAGTCGTTGCGCTGTTGTTTTTAAAAATCTTAAATCTCTTCAATATTTAATATAGGGAGTGTCAATAAGAGGACGCACACCCACAACAACTTACGCTGTCAGACGTTCAAGGTTAAACACTGCCGTTGCCAATATGCTGTAAACAGCAGGGGACGCGGCAAGGACATGCAAAAGCCACAGTCATCGCCGTTGCCAGCACGTTGCGCCATCTGCGGCACCGTCGAACAACTGCTCCGCTGCGCCAAATGCAAAAGCATCTACTACTGTTCCGTTGCGCATCAGCATTTGGATTGGCCAGCCCATCGACATGATTGCCGTCTACTGGCACGCCACAAACAGAACAACAATAGCAACAAGATACAACAGCTGCAACAGGCGGTGGCAGCCACATCACTGGATGTGAGTGGCGCAAATTGCTCCACTGCTCAAATGATGACAACCGCCGCACAGGCCCAAAGTTGGCCCAACGAACTGGATGAGCTTTTTAACTACTTTGGAGAGCCAACGCTGGCTACCCAAACAGCTCAGCAGGATGCACTTAATCAGCAGCACCACCACCAACATCATGGCGAGAAGAGCTCCAGCTATCAGATTGGCCTAACGGATTCCAGCTTCATGGGCAGTGGCAGGTGAGTTGCCATGGAACTTACAATATTAAAACTCATTTTTATTTTGTCAACGTCTACTGCACATAGAATTAATTTGGCTTATGAGTTAGATGATCGAAATGTGGTATTCCACAATAAAGTTAAGTTCTAAAAATGTTCGCTTGTCTCACCAGCTCGAGAAGAGACAGCGGCTTGGCTGGCTTTTCGGTGTCCATATATTTGGCCTTCTGTCTGTACCGTGAGCTTCTCGTTGGATTCTGATATATGTTGCATTTGTCCATTACACGCTCAATCTCCGCCAATGCATTATTGTTATTGTTGCTGTTATTTTGTTCGTCGGTGTCAGAGACTGGCTCCCATTGCGGTGTTTGGGGATAGACATTCTCTGTGCCACTTGATGGCTGGGCTGCATAAATGGTGGCCACTGCTGCGCCAGCACCCTCTATCATAGCTAGCACTAAACCCCCAACCAAAGCACCATTTCCTATTGCCTTCATGCCGTTGCGTGCGGCAAGAATCCCACCCGTGGCAGCGCCGCTGACAATCGAATTCCAAGAGTCCTCGCGCTGCCTGTAATAGACCATGGTGCAGTCCACCGTGCTGAATGTGGCACCCCAAACAGCAAAGCTGCCCGCTATAGCCGGGGTCTTCATTTTAACGGAGTCCATGCCGCCGTAAAGACTACGGATGAAGCCTGTAGGTGAATTCCTAAAGCCCCTCATATACTGAAACATGGAGCCACCGATGCAACCCATCAGAAAGGCACAGCCGCAATCCTCTACAATTCGTATTGGACATGGTTGACGAGTGTACTCAACCATTGTAGTCCAGAACTCAAGAGTTGATCAAATTCTTCCTTTCGCTATTAAAATTTCGTACTTTCCAATCCAATTGATTGTGTTAATGTGTGTGTCTGTGCATTTGTATGTGTGGGTGTTTGTGTATTTGTGTGGATCGCTGTTTATGGTCGATCTTCGGGCAAAAATTTTTTGTATTATACAGAAAACGTGTGTTCTTGAAACAAACTTTTGAACGAACATTTCATACAATTATAAAATATATTTAGACATTTCAAAATTATAGATCAGAGCAAACTATATTCTAGATAATAGATCAGTCTACTGCCTAAAAATATACATTCGGTGAGATTTTTTTAAATTATTAAAATTACAAACATATCTTAATCCAGATGTATTTGTTTTAATACTTTTTTATTACGCGGTAAAGCCAACGCCCCGAGAAATATATATATGCAAACATACATACATGCGAGTATGTATGTATAATTTGGCTACATACACATATGCATAAATACATACATAGATACACATACAAGACGCTAATTAGCGATAAGCTTTACGTGCTCGGATCTTCGGCGCTGCTGGGTGCAGACCAATTCGCCAATTCGCTGCCAGTCCGCTAATTTATGATATTCTTTTTTTCGCAAGCAAATATGTGCCCTGCGATTAGATTAGGAATTTCGAGTGAAGTGGCGAACGTTGTCTGGAATGTTTACCTTTTTTTCGCAATTACGTGCAACGTAATGTAATGCACTTTGCCGATCAGCACACGAAGTGAGCCGAAGTGTTACGATGCCCATTGCAAACGGTGCACGTACACAACAAAACACATTGTTTGATTTGTTAACACCTCTTGCGAAGTGCAGTCGCATTTTTCTGAATAGCGCCGATGACTTTGTAATTATTCTGTTGCGCAGTTGCACATACGGTATTGCTTCTATTTTTTTTTTTATTATTTTCACTTGCTATTTTAGCAGATTAAATAGGTAAATGCCTACAGTTGTTCAATTTCAATTCGTTATCGGCTCGATGACTTCAGAGCTATTCTCGCTGAATCATCGATAAGTTTGCGAATTTCTTTTGTTTTGCTTATCGTTATTCGTGCTTTCGTTTTGTGGTGGGTGGTCCGTTTCAACTTGGGTGGCCTCTCTTTATCTGGCTATCCCTCTCTATCAAACGCTCTTTAAATGTTTGCCTCAATTGTTTTGCGTACGTGCCTCGGGTACGCAAAGCGTTACGTTTTTATTTCACTTCTTATCTTGTTAGCAAGTCTTGCGACGCGTTTTCAATCTGTCGTAGCTGCTATTACGCGTCTTAAGATTGGATTGGTTGTTATTCTTTATCAAACAATTAGCAATGGCATGTCGCATGATCTCAGCTCGCTAATTTCTTCCTTTTTGCATAGCAATATAAATATGTACAAATGTATGTGTATGTCATTTATTTATGTGTCATACTTTGTCAGCGAACCGGCACTTGTAATGCAACTTTCTGCCCCTTCTTCGAATGAATATTAAATGAGAAAAGTTTCATAAACGATAGCATTCGACTGTCAATCGACGTTACAAAAGCCGGTTACAGCTGTTTGCCAGCAACAAGCTGTTGCGGCTTCTCATTTTACATCCCCATTAGTTGCCTTGCAACAAACAAATTCACACACACATATTTATATACATACATACTCAAATGTGGAGTTTTAACTACGTTTAACTGTGCACGTCACAAGGTCGAACTGAGTGTGTGTGCGTTGCGCCGCCCTCGACAGCATCGAGCACAAACCAGTGATGAATGAAACACTCACATGGCTTCACCGTGACTTGCTCGTTTTTCTGTTGTGTATATGAAAATCTTGCTCGTATATGAAAATTTATATTTTACGATACAATAGAAACGGAATATTTCTTTAAAAAATTGCACATTTTAAAGTGTAACCTGTGACAGCTTTCACTGCGACTATGAATAGTGACCGCAAGTGAATACTTTGTGCCATCTCTGTCGCGTGGTGCACGTGCCATGCTTGCAGACTACGCACGTAACATAACAAAGACAAAGGGCTACAATCGATCATTGAGCACACACACATAATTCATTTTAGAGCACTAACTCATACATATACAATATGTAAGTATGATATGTGTGTGCTTGATGTTGTTGTGGCCCTTTCAATAATTATTTAAGCTGATGACTTTGAACTGGGCCGTTGACCCAAATTATTGGAGTACGCGCCCAGCGCACTCCATCTGTATATAAGTTTACAAACATATATACAAATATTGTATCTACATGTATAGATTCATGTTTTTACAGCTGTTTCCTTAGTTTATCATTTTTGTTTTTGCTCATTTCCTTTGTCAAACAAATTCAAATGCCTTCGTTCAGGCCTCACTCGCTCTCTCTTTTATGGTGTCTTCTCTTTCAGACACCCGCTTTGATTTTCACGCATGTGTTTTGTATTTGTACTGTGCGCTGGGCTACGTGAGCGTTAGCTCGTTTATTGTGTCAGCCACTCCGAGTTTGCCTTCTGTGTTGTTTGCATTGGTGTTTGTTTGAGGAGAGTTGCATGCAAGTTATTTGAAGGGCATGTGGAAGCCTGCTAATGCCGATAAAGTTTGATAAATTCAACAAAAAACACCCCAAATGCTCTTCAATAATCATGAAAAAACACTATCTGATAGCCGGTCTCGTTTTCAATTTCTCGCATCAAAAAAAAAAAACACATTAATACATATGCAAATACGGAAAGGTAGCGTTATAGCAGCAACACCTTCCGTTGCCCAGACCTCTAACGCAACACAAACTCACAAATTGCGTATGAGCTACCAATACATGTAAATTGTCTACCACAGAGGCGATCGAGCCGGTCGGTCGCTGTTGCTGTTGGTGTCGGCACCTCAGTAGTGAGCGCGCGCTCGACGTGAACGGTTCGTTTTTCTCTACAATTGCCGGGAAATATTAAAACGGTGTGAAATAACCAAAAGAAATTAATAACAAATGTGCAAAACTGAACAGCTGCAATTACAATTACAACAATTGGATTACATTCAACGACAGCTGGCTATCTTTGCATATGAATGTGTTTGTCAGACTGCTAACCAACACTGTGTTGTGCTGATACCGATGTACGATATACAACTGGTACTCTCGCCCTCTCTCTTTATTTAAACCTAACTGTTCTCCATCGGACACATAAAAACTGGCAGGCAATTCGAAACTTTCATTAGTTGTGTATGAATTGATTCCGGAGTCGCATCCGAGTTGAAGGCCAATGCGTCAGCTGAAGAAAAAAATAATTTCTACAAGAACGAAGTGAAGTGAATATTAATACTATCAAATTATATATAAACATTTAATAATAATATTCAGAGACAGTTAAAGTAATTAACGCAAAATGATTACATTCACGACAGCGGATTACAGCAATTTCTTCAAGCATTCGGCTCTTCCCGCCAATGCCGAGCAATATTTTCGCGAGGCTTTGGATAAACGGTAATTCGATTTGATAACTATTTTGTATTAAAAATCGATAAATCGTGTTTCAAACAGAAACCGGTTGCGGTTCGAAGTTCAATATCACCGTTTTAATTCTGCGCTCTTTGATTTGCAACTTATGTCGATAGCCTTAAAGCCAAACTCGATTTCTCACAAATATTAAAAGTTGGCTTTTATTTCTTGACGCTTCTTATTTCCTTTTTCATTATTGCCTTGTGTGCGTATTTCCCCATGCAGTCAATATTTTGATGGCTTTACGCTACTTACAACCTTTCTTTTATTTGCTTTGTTTTGTTTATCCAGAATTTTGAGGCTTTCCGCCTCTTCTCTCTTTTCGCTTCGTTATTCTCTTTCTCTTCGTGCGGTTGTGTGAGTGTGGGTCTTTTGGACTACGTGACTGAAACATGTCCAATAAATAGCAAAAATTTTATGGGTTGCAAATCATAAAAATGTCGTAAAACATGCAAATTCATATTAATTATACTAAACAAACTACTAAATAGTATTTTTAGTATTTACATTACTATTTTGATTTAGTTGGGGATAAAAATACATCGCATCAATAGATGAAGGTGACCTAGCAAGGGACCAGATTTAAATCACAGATTTAGTTGAGATTATCAAGGGATTATACAAATTAATTAAATTATTTGTTTTTCTTTGTCATCAACAGCGAACGGCGCTATGAGGATCTTTGCCGTAACATTATCAATGACATGAATCAGTATGGACTGTCTGTGGTCGACGACTTCTTGGGCGCGGATAAGGGTCTGAAGATCCTGAACGAGGTGCGCAGCATGTACTCTGCGGGCGCCTTCCATGATGGCCAGTTGGTGCACAATATGCGTACTGATGCTCAATCGTCCACGGTGCGCGGTGATAAGATTCGAGGTGATAAAATCAAATGGGTCGGTGGCAATGAGCCCGGCTGCAGCAATGTGTGGTATCTGACCAATCAGGTGAGCAGTTGTCAAGGGGTTTAAAATTCCACAAACATGCAAACTCACTTTTCCACATTATTCCCTCTACTCTAGATTGACTCTGTGGTGTATCGTGTGAACACAATGAAGGACAATGGTATCCTGGGAAATTACCATATCAGAGAGCGTACGAGAGTAAGTACTACTTTTGCTATAATCTGATAAAAAGGTGTAAGTTTAATTACCCTACTTCTATAGGCTATGGTCGCTTGCTATCCCGGCTCTGGCACACACTATGTTATGCATGTGGACAACCCGAACAAGGATGGACGCGTTATTACAGCCATATACTACCTGAACATCAACTGGGATGCCAGTGAGAGTGGCGGCATATTGCGGTTAGTTAGTAAAATAATATTTTAAGAGCTCAATAACTAAATAATTTGTTTTGATTAACAGAATTCGACCGACGCCCGGCACAACTGTGGCCGACATTGAGCCGAAGTTTGATCGCCTGATATTCTTCTGGTCGGATATACGTAATCCGCATGAGGTGCAGCCTGCGCATCGTACCCGCTATGCCATCACCGTCTGGTACTTTGATAAAAAGGAGCGAGAGGAAGCGCTGAATCGCGCCAAACTGGAAAACAGCAAGACAAACAATGCCAATTCGGTTGCACAGATGGCGGAGCCTGATTCAACAACCACATCCGCGTCATCCACACTAACCGCAGCTGCATCTACCTCCATCTCCAGTTCCACCTCTACATCTACGTCTGCAACTACAGTGCTATCAGTGAACAAGTCGCTTACACCCGCCAGCATGACGACCGGCACAGGGTCGCTTAACGCAAATGTGGCGAGCAGCTCCTGCCCGGCCAGCAATGAAATTTGCACGTAGCCAACCGCCGTCGCTTAAATCCTGTATATAATGCTATATCTATATCTAGGCCAAATGTTGTAACCAATGGCACAGCGATAATGGGCAACTTAAGAGTGTATCAAACAATAGACATTGTAAAAAGCTAGTTAAAACCTATTTATATATAATTTTTAAGTACGTAATCTTATCGATATGAAAAGTGCAGTTAGGCAAACTTAACTGTACCAGTCTAACCTACATAAATGTGAATCAAAGCTCCTTTAGTCATTTAAAACTCTAGTTTTAGCTGCTAAGTCGTATCTTTAGTTCTTTTCGCATTAACCTTTAGCTAACTGCCTTATCAGCGACATGTTGATTGTTTTTATATAGTATCTTATTATTTTCATATACGCTCTGTAAAAACTATCAAAATGTGCATAGTTTGCCAAAGTATTAAAGCTAAACTATAGCTTCTGAAGAAGCGATATTAACATTGATTTCCCATCTCAAAATTTTGTAAACAAAAACAAACAACTATTTATTTTAGATTTCATTCAACTCTACGACTCTCGTGCACATACATCTATGGAGTCCCAGAATCCATCTGTATATGTAAATCTCTTTTTGTAATTGCCTTATAGAAAGCACAAAGAATATCAATTATGTATATAATATACATATATTTATTTTTTTATTAAAATGAAAAACTGATCAAATGAACAAAATGTATAAAAATTTTTCCACGTAAATCAGTTTGGTGATTGGAATTATAAAATGGATTTTTATATGATTGAGCTTTTCAATATTTGATTAACGACGTCCATAAGCCCAAGGAATGCAATTATTTTAGCAATTTATTAATTGATGCGCACAAAAGTATGCTTTACCAAATATACAGGCAGGTACTTTGAACAGCGCCCTCTGTTGGTTTCATAAGTATTAGCTGAAGGCTATTAAATTGAACCGCCAAAACGAGGAAGCGCCCTCTGTTGAGTAAACGTGCAGATGCTGAATGTCGTTAGACTTAAATGTGATTTTAAATCAAATCGACCAAAGAAAATAATTTCGTTCGATTATAAATAATTTTAGGTTGAAGTAAAACGACGTGTGTTTGATATTTGAATATACATTTTATTTTTCAGAAAAGTTTTCATCTTTGTAATGACTTTACAGTTATATATATAGTATATATACGTATGCACATGCATATATATGTTTATGCGTATTTATATATGTACTCGCGTAAGCACATTTCGTTTTTGTATGTGCGCTGCAATGGGATTTTCTCATTCGATCCCATTCTTTTCTCTGCGCTCTGAGACGCAACAAGTTATAGCACACATGATTTTAAATTTTGTTTTAACTATAATTAGTTTATATGCTATTCATTTGAATGCCAACAGAAAAACAACTATGCATTTGTCGAAAGAACAACCAAGCGAATGTGAATTGAAAATTTCCATAAATATTCGCAATGTCTGCACTCTATGTACATATTTCCATTTGTCTATTTCCATTTTTTCTTAATTTTCAATTTTCAAAAATATTTCTGTCTTATGTACACGGGCGATCTAATTGCCATTGCAACGTATGTCTATGTTTATGTTTATGTATATGTCTATGTATATGTATATGTCTATGTTAATGTATATTTGCCTGCAATTTGTCGGTGGAAAAATAAAACTTTTCTGCTTGAACTTATTCATTTCATCTTTCTCTCTCTATCTCTCTCTTTCTCTGTCTATCACTGTTTTTCTATGTACTGCAAGTTTGCTCTGTTATACTGTTATACCGTTATACAAGTTGAGTTGCCTCTGCCCACCTATTCAATATGTTTAGTGTTTTAATTGAAAAGCTAAGACTCTGCTGCTGCTTCTTTTTCTATATTTTTTTATTTCCTTGAGGTCTTCGAAATGCCAATAGAAATTATAAATTTGATAATATTTATATGCTAACTTGAACTATTGTGCAATTGGTTTGCTTTGGTGCACAACTACAAAATGCTTTTCGCAACTATTCAACACTGGTTTCTTGTATTTTCACAACTACTAGTTCAAAGCAGACACCGACACACACATAGCTAACACAATTACGAAGCGTTATATATGCATATTATATATATATATATATATACTTTCTCTTGTTTAGTTGTTTAGACAAACAAGGACAGGGACGCATGCATGTATGTATATATATGTATATATGTGTACATACATATATATATATATATATATATATATATATATATATATATATATATATATATATATATATATATATATATATATATATATATATAGTATCAATTTTTGAAATAT